ATCTCAAGAAAATGTTTCCGAGGTACATATAGAGTATATTTAAATATAGCAAATTTCGGTATTTCCAACGAGCGTTCTTGAAAAATAACTAACTAATTTTAACTAATAGAAGGTTAGTACAACACAACCTGTTAGGAAAATATCAAGATTCGTGGTTTCCAAGGTCGCAGGTCCTCCTAGTAATGCTACTACACCGATTCAACAACATACTGATATGTCAAAAAATCAAACAGAAGATTCGAAGGTTTATCATATAGATGACACACAGGGTAAGTATTCTAAAGATCAATGAAATAGATACATTTAGAAATGTTTAAAAATTAAATATTCATGAATTACAGGTACACCAGTACAAATAACTCACAGCCGTGAAGGTTCTCTTCCACCTACGCAAATTACTCAGCCTATTAATGCTCCTGTTGTAGAAGTAAATACATAGCTTTTATTAAGTATATGTTTAATTAATTTATGTGCCATTAACCCAACTGTTAATATTATTTATAGCAAGCAGAAAAAGATGAGAGATTTTGGACATTAACACCAAGTGAAGAATATCAATTGCTTATAAAAAAGTAGGTTTACATTTATAAAAATTTCATCTTACAGTTTTATAATAATTAAAAATTAACTTCTTTTACTTCTGTATATATACAGGCAAACTATGGAATTGGAATCCCTGCAAAGAAGACACAGAGAAGAATTGGAACGATTTCAACAGCATCAATTGCAGCTATTAATTCAACAGCAACAGCAAGCAAGTGCACTTCATCAACATCACCATCAACATCATCCAGTGCTTTATCATACTGTTACGACTAGTGTACCAGGTTAGTCATTAATAGTAACTTTAAGTAACTTTAAACAACTATTTTATACGTCCCATTTCAATCATTATATTTCATTGTCCCTTGTAATGACATAATTCTTTTCCTAACAGGACAAACTAGACTTCCAGGTACAGAAGACTATTTAATGTTTAACACAACGCCCCAAACTCCTTTACAAAAAGCTCCAAGTAATTATCCAGATACCGATGAAACATTACGATTAGCTATGCAGAAATTGAAGCAAACTCCTTTGCAACTACAACCACAACAGGCGGCAACTGGAATACCACACGCTTATGTTATTCCAATTCCAGTAGTGCCTTCTGAAACTATGCAAAACGTGTCTACTCAACAACCTACTACTTATACAAGTGAACTAACTGAATCTCTAGAGCCAGCACATAATCCGACAATTATAAATTCAACACAATATCAGTTCACGCCTATATTACCAGATGGAACAAATTATGCAGTATCCTCTACTGGATCATTAGTTACACCTATACCGATATCAAGTTCAACGGGAAGTGGAGGTTACATCCAGTATCACGATAATCAAACATTATCAAATTTTCAAACATTTAGTTGCACACCACATGGCGGTTTCTTTTTACCAGCTGGCTATCGGCTAATATATGCTCCTTCTGGTGGAACGTCTCAGTCGCAGCCAGCTACACCAGCTACCCCACATATAGGAAATTCTCATGACGGTACACCGCCGGCAGAACCTTTGCACGCAGCAAATGTTGACAATTCAACAGCTCCACCTTCCCATACCGATCAATAACGTAATCTTCAGCAAGTTATGATCTATATTTTTCGATTTACTCATTTTCGTAATACATTCTTTATTTAAACGTGTTGCCCTTATCCACTAGTATGAGAATCATGCATTATTACAATTGTTATTCTATTATAGTTTTGCTAATACGTATTGCTACCCTCGTCTTCGTGGATATGTATGCGAGGAGATGCGAATGAAAGTATTTAGGATGTATTTGATATTGTAACATCCGTGCGTATCGTTAAAATATTCTCGTTATCTGTGCGTCAGCATATTAATTATTTGATATGTGCCTCGCAGCGAAATTAAAACTCTCAATTCGTACACGGAGAATATTTTGAATGAACGAATTAAGCTTCTGGACAAAAAAAAAACATAGGAAAGAAAAAGAAATAAAATATTGAAATTGAAGATAGAGGCCTTTACATGTACTGTGCTTATATCTTATTGTAGTAAATACCCTTCTTTAGTAAAAATGCTTGTTAAAAGACTTTTTCTGCTCTCAATTTATTGATAGCACAGTCCACATTAGTACAGGCCTCAGCTAGTCTTACAAATGATGGCATACAGCCATTCTGCTCGATATATATGTATAACTGTTAATGTATACTGAATGCTTTGGACAGAGAATGTATGTTTACGTGTGCATGGATGTGATTGCAGGAGTCAGACAGAGAAGAAATATGATTAATATAGTCACTGTTATGCTTTAATGTATTTCTAGCGATTTTACCTATTTCAATTAAAAAAAAAAGTCATGTGTTACTAGTTAGCAGTTTCATGTATCTTATCTAATATTATATCAACTATTATCTTTTTTAGACTTGATTGTGAATATTTTTATTATTGCATATTTAATTTATCGAAGTTTATTTCAATTGAATTGGCATTTCATTTACAATACGTTCTGAAATACATTTGCACAATCCATTCCTTTGAATATTTTAGGAATTTTTGTTATTTAGCACTTCAATTTCTGATAAAATGGTGATGAAAATAATGGTAATCATCATAGATATTGAGAATCTAATTAAGAAAAAAAGAAACTCAATAGGAACATGACATATGTATGAAATTCATACATGTTTTAACAATATCAAAAATAAAATAATCTAGTGCTTGTGTTACATCCCAAAAAATATATTTTAAATTTTCATCTGTGCTATCACATATTGCATTTTGCAATATAGTTAAGAATAGCTTATTTGTATAACTACAAATATTACTGCTGTTTATTGGTAATTATAATGTTATCTTTATTTCGTTCAAATAATTGCAGTTCGCGTCGTTTTTAATGTTGCGATTTACTACTGCTTTAAGCATGAATTTATTATTATCAGTATTAGAATTTCGAAAATTATTTTAAAATTTTGAATATGAAGTTTTTTCTTGTAATTTCCAAGTTATTGATACTTGATCATGATATTATATTAAATTACACTCAATTGTTTCATATACACATATGTTTTATTTCTAAGTTTTGCATACCATAATTCCGTTATTTCGTTTTCCACTTTATTTGGGAGAAAATATACTTATACGTTTAAATCCAGTTAATCCACCTGGTAATAAATTCATGTGGCTGTTGAACGAAACATTATAATATAGGTAATTGTATGTATTTCTTATGGAAATGCATTGCAATTATTCTTATATAGTTACTTTAAATAAATTTATTAGATAATACTCAAAGAAAATGCATAACATGTAATACTTAATGTACATATTATTCATTTACTGTTAGGTGGATTGGCTTTTGATAAAGATGCAGCTTCTATGTTTGTTAATAAAAGCTGAGTATATGAAGTTTCTAAAATAAACTATATTTAAATGTAATAATTTACAGTGATATAGTTTGGTAAAAATTGATTTTTAATTTCTTAAATTTATTCATTGAATGTGATGAAATGCATGAAATAAGACAATAGAAATGAATATTATTTCATTAACAGCATTGCAACGGACTACTTCCTTCCAAATATATTTTACACAATGTGATTTTAAATATACATAGTATTATAATGATAATGATGATGATATAATTGGAGTAAATTTTTGTAAAACATTATTGTTGTTTTACCAAAGAATACCAAACCGCACTGTTACATACAAGAAAAAATCACAATATGAATTCATCATAATTTTCTTCTACTAATATGGCATCTAACTTGATGGAATTGAACAACTTAGTACATTCAGACATAGGTATTACAATATATTTTTCAGAAAATATGACAAAAAAACAAGTAAATCATATTTTGCTACATTTAAAAGATTCACACATAAAGTCTTAGTACATATTGATGGATCAGAATTTAATGAACTAATTTATTACAGTTATTTAATTTATTTAACAGATTCATATAATTAATTGCAAGCATATATAGATAATTTGTTGATTTATATATATATATATATATATATATATACATGATTTATATACATATATATATGTGTATATATATATATATATATATATATATATATAGTATGTACTGTATAAGCATACTGTTCTAAACATAGGAATATATCGTATGATATTTTAGAAATGCAGTTGTGAAAAACACATGTTTCTTGTGTTACATTTTGCTTTTTCAAATTTCGAATGTAAAAAAACAAAACTTGACTTGAATAATAGAATGAATTAAATTTATCTATAAATTATCCTTAAAATTACACTGTACAAAAATTTGAAGCTCACTAATTAGAGCATATAAAAAAAGCTTTTTAAAAGAATTGTATGTAACTATTACAGGAAGGTTTAATTACGTTCTAAAATATCTTGTACTAGTGTTTAACTACCTTGCTTGTAATAAAAATGAAAAATATGAAAAAAGTTTAGACAAAAATAATCGAAGAGCTTTTCCTGTGCTAACTAGTGTATAAGTTCATACATGCTTTAAAACTTATGTAATCTATGTTGTGTGAAATTCTATAAGAAATTTTGTAAAGACTGATTAGATATGCATCAGCATTCAATAGATTGCAAAAAAAAACAAAATTAATTTAAACCATTCACTGTATGGAGAAAAAGTTGTAACTAATAGAGATATATAGAAATTAATACAAAGAAACCTGAAATAATTTAGATTCAACTCAGAATAATATTATCTTCCATTCCTTACTTGAGAAGTACTTACATCAAAATGTAGTTTGTGATGTTAATTAATACATTGTATATTTGTGAAATTTATGAATATATTATGTAGACAACAACACAACTTTTTTAATTAGTATTGCATGTACTATATTTTTAAACAATATTTTTCTATGTCACATAACTAATTCTAAACATATTAAATTATAAATTTATTGAAATTCTTTTATGTGAGTTCTGTTAAATTTAAATCATCTATTGCAAAGATTATAAAGAAAATTAGAAAATAGTATATCTTTAACAAATGATTGTTTTAATCATGATATCTACATATCATTACCATTTTTATTTACATTTGTTTAATAATTATCTTACAATAATAGTATAGTAGATATAAAAATAGTTTGTGGCAACAAAGATGTTAACTTATATTTATATTGATTAAATTATAGAAATTTCATGATAAAAAACTTTTAATTTCTGTTAGTTTTGAAGCAATCTTTATATAAATTTTATATTATCAAACATATTCAAAACAGTCACTTCAGGCATTTTCTTCATTAATTTTATATGTATTGAATAGCCTGCAATTTAAATGAAATACGTTACTAATGAATCATGCAAAATCAATGAAATAAAACAATTCACTATATAAAGCAAAAAGAGTTATTTATTATTTTATTAGAAGACAAGAAGATCATATTGAAATAAAAATTATTAAATGATTTAAATAAGTAATTTGACAAAATAACTAATTGTGTGTATTATGAATAAACTATGGGTATTTACGAACCACAAAAATAGGACCTAAATAGAAATTTCTTTCATTTCTTAAATATTATAAGGAGTATTTTATTTTGAATATCTTTTATATTTTTGTACAATATATAAAATAAAATAAATAAAAGCATAAAAATGCGCGGTATAGTTATGAATAATTACAGGATCAAACAACTTTTATTAAAATATCTTTTTAGTGATTGTTCATAATTTACAACAAAGGATTAGAGAGATTATATACTTACGATTAATGGAGTTGTGAAGTGCTTATAATAATTATGCTATTGCTTCCATACGATTTCGATGCCGTGCATAAGCACCCATACAGGCAAAAAATCCAATGATTCCAATAATCAATCCAATGATCAATGCTAAGGTATCTCCAAAATCAAAGCTGGACGAGGCCATCGCAAAATTAAATGTCGTAAAAATAGCAAGCAAGAAATAAAACCACATTTTTGCAATATAAAAAAGATCTGATTATTCGATATGATAAGTAACCTTCACGATGGTGGGTTTTAATAAACACTACACTTGTACAATAAGATTCACATATCTTGCGCGTTTATTAAATCAACTTTCAATTCGCTACCAAGGTACTATTATTTTTTTTTTACTTTGTTACATCATATACACAAAATGTATAAATCTTTATTTATCAGGTTTTCATTCGATGATCAAACTAGTATTGTTTAGTCATTTCCTTGATTTTAAAACGTAATACAACGATTAACATTATGATCCAAATTTGACAATTACAAACTATACAGTTTCTATATTAAGTTTTCGTTTCTTTAACATTATCAAAGTTAATCATCTAAAATATAAAGTCAATGTATGTATATAATAAATGATACTTTGCGTTTAACAAAATTTTATTATAAATACAACATATGTATATGAGGATAAATAAAACGTCAATTTTAAAACGATATTGAATAAATATCATTAAAAAATATATTTTTATAAAATGCCTGTTTTCTGCACGTACTTCCATATGTCTTATTTCAGAACATATGCATATATCAAACTTTTATACCAAACATTTACCTTTGCTTAATTTATATACAAAATTCCATATATCATTTTAAAAGCTTTATCTAGTTTTTTGTAGTTCTTATAAAACAATTTAAAGTTTTCAGGGAAAGTAAATTTCTTTAAAAATTTTATATACATATTCCCTTTTTTACAGGGGAAAAAGCCTACAGAAAATATGTTACAAATGTGGGATAAAATATGTTATAATACATTTATATTTTTTATTATAGTACAGTAGTATTAGATCACAGACATAAATGTCTAATAATTAGTTAATATTGTATATGTAGTATAGTATAGTTAAAATATATAGTACAGTACACTATATAATATACTTATAGTACGCAATATACGCTAAAAAATATATTCTATGCTATAAAATATAACTAGACATTTAAGAAATGATACATACTTTCCAATTATTCTTGAGGTTTTGAAAATTTTTGTGAATATTTCCCCAACAATAGTTGCCCAATCAAAAGACATATTCTGCTCATAATGTTCAGATCAGCCTATTTACGAATACAACGAAGGCAACCTATTTTGACAAAGATAAAGATGTATCTGTGCGATGTTTAAGGTGGCGTCACTTGCTTACTGGGGAAAGTATAGAGAGAAATATTACATTGGCGCGTATCGACCGAGCAAAACAATTTTTCCCCTCATCGCTTACACATTTCAACTATTTGACACAGGTAGAGTGAATAAAACTATACAAATATTTGTTCGTTTCTTAAATGAGATTTTTCACATTTTAATATATTAGCATATACCTTTTTCGAACAGATAATCGTTGCCGTTTTGTAGCCATTTTGCTATCCGTTGATAAATACAAGACATATTCGTACCGACTGGTGAACCGCGTACCTCTTGTCACATATAAAATGCTAATGCTTATTTCAATGTTTTGACCGATCTTCGTCTACAAACCTTTTCTTTTTTTTTTTAACATAATATTATATTAAAGAATGTATACGTGTAACAAGTACATGCATAATCACGCATGATACAGAATATCCAAATGCTGTGAAAATCAATTTAAAAGCGAATAGACGTGAAGGACACAATCGCATTTATATTTTTCCTTCGATATGATTCTTTAATATTGTTTGTACTTTATTTCACTATGTGATTGAAAAAGATGTATATAATATTACAGTTTTGATAGATATGTCTTTTATATATACAGAAAACTTAAAGAATAATAAAGTATATATTTTGCAATGTATAAGGCAATATATTTATGCACTCTATAAAAAAGGTATGTCCTAATTGTTAAAAATTGTAAAGTAAATGCTATGCTTTTTAGGATATGTGTCATATATATCGATTATATATATTATTACATATATAATAAATATATGCTCGAAAAGTAAGAAGCATATATTTAAAGTATTATCGATTATATTATTATTTTTACTTTAATAAACAGATCATTTATTAAATATAAAGCTTAATTTTTCATGTTTTATATTGTTACATTTTGATGTGATTTTAATGATTATAAATACTTATGTTTGGTTTTAGATAAAAGTCAGTTTAGAGATAATTAAATAACAATTTAAGTAGGTTGTTTTCTTTTTGAGATACTATGATATATACAATAAATGTAAATGATATGTTTTTTTAAGCGCCACTTTTTGGACATCAGAATTTAGAACCAAATCTATTATGGAACTGTCACATGAAATATTGGATACAATAGATATTAACGATGACAAAGATGTGATGGAAGTATTGAAGCATGCAATCACAGAAGAAAACATTATAGTAGAATCAGAAACTACAGAAGATTCTGTAGAAACAGAAATAGAAGAAATTATAGAAATAATAGAAGAAATAGAAGAGGACAAAGAAGAATCACCACAGGATGACATTATTCTTATTGAAAATAATAATGGGAAAATTAAACCAGAGATGGAAGTCTATGCTTTTGACGAAGATAGTTCTATATTTAAGACACATACTGATAATGAACATGAAAAGAAAGAACAATATGATAAAAGTAGTAATAAGCAAGTTATAGCATATGATGTAGATGAAGATTGGCAAGACGAAGATATGGAAGAAGAAGAGTATGAACTGAAGTTTGGACAGAGTTCTAATGTATTAAATCACACAGAATCTTTACAAAGTCAAAGAATATCAAGCAGTGATAAAAAATATGTAAATAATCAAACAACCTCTTTACCATTACAAACAAATAAAACAGAATCCAGGGATAATGTAGAATCTTCAGACAAAGTAGAGAAATCTAAATTAAGCCTAGAGTTTAAAAATAATGTGAATAGCGACGAAAATATTGATAATAATGTAAGTCATGAGATTGTGAAAAATGTTGAGAATAATCTATTATACACTGTTCTTGGTACAAAGAAGCAAAGTTCAGTAAAAACATTTCAGGCAGATAAACTGTCGGATACTCATTATATCAAGGTTTGTATTACCAAATTATTTCATTATACATAGTTGCTATTGTTTGTATAAAAGTAATAGTTTTATTTTTAGGTGGAACAGCTTGACGAACATACTATACCAATTGGAGGAACAATTTATTATGAAGCAGATAATATAGAAACATTGTATGTTGCACAAACAGTAGATGATAGTGAACAGTATTATGATACTGCAATAATAGAAAATGAAGAGCAAGTATGGGAAACAATTAATTCAGATACCAATCAAAACCAGGAGAAAGAAAATTCTCAGGTATTAATTTAAAAACTGAATGTTTAAACTTATTTCTTTGTTTTTCATTTATTAAATAAATTTTCATTAAATTTTCATCCATTTTAAATTTTAGGATCAAATATTTTTACATGAAGATGAGGATGGTCAATTATATTTCAAAGATGAAACTGGTACTTTACAGCCAGTGTATTTGACTGAAGATGGACATTATGCTATTGCAGAAATCAGTGATGGTTATGAGGGCAAAGAATCACAAATGAAATCTGACCAGAATGCTAGACAAGTAGACGAAGAATCTTACTCTATGCCAGATAGTGAACTCAAATCTATTCATAATAATAAACAGGTATTTGATAAATTCTAATAATAATTCTAATATTTCTAATAATATTCTAATAATTCTATATTTGGTAAATTCTAAAACGTGCAATATCAAAATCATTTTCCTATTTTCATCAGTGTTACTTTTCAGAATTCTGTAATATCTGCTGCTGAGCTAGATAACGAAGATAATACTGTGACTATATCTCTGATAATATCCGAGGATGAACATGGACAAAAAAGAACTCAAGTTATTATACCAACAACGGATAACTTAAAGTGTGATATTTGTAATAAAAGCTTTAAAACGTCGTTCCAATTACTTCGACACAATAGACTGAAACACGCTCGGGAAGAAGATATTACAACCAGAAATTTCCCGTGCGATTTATGTCCTAAAAGGTAATTCTTTATATAAATTAAATTTGTTTTATTAGTTATAATAATAATGATCAATTTTTTTATTCGCATTTCAGATATCCAGATCAAAATTCTTTAGCTCGACATAGAAAGACTCATACTGGTGACCGACCATTTCAGTGCCTCGAGTGTCATAAAAACTTTCCAACATCTACCGCTCTACGTCGTCACTTGACACTTCATAATTCACAATCTCGACCTCTTCCGTGCATTTACTGCGGTCGCCGCTTCGTAGATAAAGCTAGTCTGGTTAAACACGAGCAGTCACATTTGGCTGGTGATCAGCGGACCCACACATGCGATGTATGTCATAAGTCATTCTTACATGCAACTGATCTGAGTCTACATAAAAAATATCATGATCCTGATAAGAAATTTGACTGTGAGGTTTGTGGTCGAGAGTTCAACAGATTGAACAATTTGCAGAGACATATGATGGTACATCAACAAGTACGTATGATCAATACGATCTTAGTGTTTAAATTGTTCGGGTCTCGTAAGAAAAAGAAATGTTTCCATATACTTTTTGCCATTTCTCTCATATTTTCTGCAACTTGTACGTACTACGTAAAATTAAGGAATTTATATAATATAATAGGAGTTGAAATATCTTAAATTATACAATTATAGGTGTTCTCAACTCTTTTAAAAGTAGTAATTTAATTATAATGTATGGTATTTCTTATATTTCCACATTTTAGCAAGGGGCGAACGAGGAAATACTTTCTTGCGACGTATGTGGCATCACCTATAAATTCATGAGTTCGTTGACGAGGCATATGGTGACGACACACATGAATCCAGAAAAATTAAGGCAACAAGCGGAAGAACAACGAAGGAAGCGTGAAAATAATTATCGTCGTTATCTAGAAAATCGAAAAATGTACGAAACTCAACATTCAGGAGGATACGGAACAAAACGGAATTATCACAACACACGTATACTTAGTGGAAGTAACGACGAAGCAGCTTGATTTGCATTTTCAAATCACTCGATGACCGCTAAGAAAAGTACCATAATAAAACCATAGTTTTTCAAAATAAAAAGAGACATAAATATGATAAATATTTGCATATAACATAGGGATATTTCGCTATCATTTTCTTCGCTATAGATAATTGAATAGGTAAATATTAATTTAATAAATATATGAATTGTGTAGTGTTTGAAATATTCATGTATCTTTACGAAAATTCAGGTATATGCTTTATAGAAAAATATAGCATACGTATATGTGTTTAAAATAGAATATGTATATATAAATACATTTCATTTTTATTGTACACTAGGTATTTACATTGTAGATACAATTGATATTAGTAACATTTTAATATATACATATTTTATTGTAATTTTCATGTAATTATAATCGTGTAATGTAGGTAAGTACAAAATATTGTAAGAGTAACAAAAGAGGAAGTTTATAAATCAAATTTTTCGTACGAATGTCTCTTAATATGAGTCATTATTATTAATACTAAAAGATGGCTAAAAGTAATTTTTTTAATTCAAATTTGTAAAAAAATCATATTAAAATATGAGAAATAAGTAATGTTAATGTTTTGATATTCATATTATTTTGTAATTCTTTTATTGTTCACAATTAAATTTAATTACCGGTTCAAATTTGGATATACATGTATGTGTGTGTGCGTGTGTGTGTGTGTATATATATACATTTATATATTAATGAAAATTAAATGTTAAATTATGATAAATAATATTTTTTCCCAACAATATAAAACTGCAAATATAAACTATCACTAACTACTGTTCATGTACTTATTTTATCCCCACCATATTTAGTTTGCTCAGTCACGTGATAAATATGATGTGATTCGATTATAGCGTATTTATATGTTTGCGCAATACACATCAAGTTAATTTAGTTATAGATTTAGACCAGTGTCTTGAAACGAAAAGAATAAGGATAGTTCTTGTAACTATACTAAAATACAAATTTTATAATTTCTTTGCAGTCAAATAATTTTACAAAGGAATACAACAACACGACAGGTAAACAAAAATATAAAATATTCGAAGTACTAATGAAATAAAATAATCATTAAAAAAATATATTTTAAATTAATTGAAGGTTAATTAAAAAATTTGAGAATAAAAATTCAAGTAATTATGTTATGAACATTGAAAATATATGTTGTATTCTATTCAATAATATAAGAAATTATCCTTTCCTTAAGTATTATTATATAATAAAAATTTTATATTTGTTTTATATAATAAATGAATTTGTTATTTTTTTTTTATAAGATAATGATAATAATATTTAGTATCTTAATTTAGCCATGATCAAATTTTATTTGAGATATTGAAACACTAACATTGTGTGTTATTTGTTACAGTTCTACGTAGATATCAGTAAGGTAAAAAATAATAGATAACAAATCAAGTTTTGAGTAATTCCTCTTGAGCAAAGTTCATAAGCCTCTATATTAATTGTTATCAATATGGAGAAGCATGATGCATTCTTACAAGTACATTTAGAAAGACCTGTATATGAACAAGAAAGTTTAAATGAAGATTGTCATTATGAAAAACCAAAAGGGCTTTGTGTGTAAACAATAAAATTTCATTACTTTATTATTAATATATAAATATCATATGTAAAATGGTAGTTTTCTTATAGGCTTCCAAGATGCAATATGTGATTTAAAACATAGAAACTGGAGATCATGTCTTACATCTGCAATTCCCTCAATACATTGGCTGAGAGATTACAATTGGAAAGAAAGTATAATGCCTGATATAATTTCTGGTTTGACTGTAGCAATCATGCATATTCCTCAAGGCATGGCTTATGCACTTTTGGGGAACGTACCTCCTGTAGTTGGAATATATATGGCATTCTTTCCTGTCTTAGTGTATTTTTTCTTTGGCACATCTAGACATGTGTCCATGGGTAAGAAAAAATGTATTTTAATTTTGATAGTTTAATAAATTCGGAACAATCATTAAATATTTTATTAAAAACAAGATCCCTTTAGTGTTTTACACTTGATGCATACAAGCTTTGTAAAATACTACTTCTATTACAGAAATATTACAAATATCTCCTTTTAATAAGAACTTATTAGACAAGCTAGAACAATGAATCATTATTGGCACTCATCAGGAACATTCGCTGTGGTTTGCTTGATGACTGGGAAAACAGTGGCATCTTATTCGGTATCACACAATGATATTACAAATCCAAATGCTACAACTACATTGCCCAATTTGCCTGGAGAATATTCCTATACACCAATGCAAGTTGCAACAGCAGTTACACTCATGGTTGGAATATTTCAGGTAAAATTTTGTAGATTCATTTTATATCTTGCAACAATGACATAATAATTACCTTTTTCAGATTATAATGTATATATTTCGTCTGGGTATTATAAGCACATTGCTTAGTGATCCATTAGTGAATAGTTTTACAACTGGTGCAGCAGTCTGTGTTTTAATATCTCAAATTAAAGACCTATTTGGTTTGAAAATACCAAGACAAAAAGGATATTTCAAGTTCATTTTTGTATGTATAAAATATCAAACACTATCTAAAAATAAACAAATTAATTAGAAATATATAAATTAAATTATAAAATATTTCAGACATTGGTAGATATTTTTAGAGGAATACAAAATACAAATTTAGCTGCTTTACTTATATCAGCAATAACAATCGCTGGTCTTGTACTTAATAATGAATTTTTAAAGGTAATTTTTAATCGTTAGAATATTTTTGTTTCAAGATCTATAAATAATAATTCTATTGTTATTTTAATATTAGCCCTGGGCAAGCAAAAAGTGCAGCATTCCAATTCCAATCGAATTGATTGCAGTTGTGAGTGGAACTTTAATTTCAAAATATTTTTGTTTTCCTACCATGTATAATATTCAAGTTGTGGGTGATATTCCTACAGGGTATGTTTAATGTCCATTTTTAATTTGATTATTTTTCGTCAATATAATTAAGGTCTTTTAATCTTTTAAATTAATAGATTACCAGCACCAACAGTTCCAACATTTCAACTCTTACATCTAGTAGCAACAGACAGTATTGCTATAACTATGGTTTCCTATACTATTACCATATCAATGGCTTTGATATTTGCACAAAAATTGAATTATAAAATTAATTCAAATCAAGAACTTCTTGCTATGGTAATAGAAAAAACCCTTTAATATTATTTTAAAATCATATAAATTATTACACTATGTATATTTTTAAAATGTAATTTTAGGGTTTGAGTAACATAACAGGATCCTTTTTTTCATGTATGCCAGTGTCAGCATCTTTAAGTAGATCTTTAATTCAGCAAACTGTTGGTGGTCGGACACAAATAGCTAGTGTTGTATCATGTATAATATTGCTTACAATCCTTTTATGGATTGGCCCATTTTTCGAACCTTTGCCAAGATGCGTTCTCGCATCGATTATTGTTGTAAGTATAAATGTTTTGAAATCTACCTACAAAATCCACTTATAAAAAAATGCTCATATCAAATTTCGATATCATTAACAGTTTCATAATATTTAATTCTTTTCTTTAGGTAGCTTTAAAGGGAATGTTTCAACAAGCTAACCAGCTTATAAAATTCTGGAAATTAAATAAATGTGATGCACTAATTTGGATTGCAACATTCTTGACCGTCATAATAGTAAACATTGATATTGGTTTGCTAGCTGGAATAATAATATCACTTGCAATTATTTTATTGCAAAGTCTTAGTCCTTATATTTGTTTATTGGGATACATACCAAATACAGATTTGTATTTGGATATCAGTAGATTCAAAGCGGTATATTATTTTTTATAACTAATAATATTTTTTAAATCAAAAGATGTATCTATACTTAGCATATTTGAATCATTTTTAGGCAATAGAAATTCCAGGAATGAAAATTGTTCATTATTGCGGAACTTTAAACTTTGCAAACACTAGTCATTTCAAGACAGAATTGTATAAATTAATTGGAGTGAATCCAACAAAAATTATAGAACATAAAACTAAGTTAAGGGAAAAGGGTATTTATATGGACACAGAAGATTCAGAAGACAAACAAGAATTACGATGTGTAATAATGGATACGAGCGCATTAAGTTATATTGACTCTAGCGGCGTAATTACGTTAAATTCAGTAATGAAAGAATTTCAACAAATTGATGTACACTTTTATCTTGTAAGTTGTAGAACTCCCATTTTTGAAACTATAAAAAAATGTGACTTGTATTTACATGGAACACTTACGTTTAAGATTTTTGCAACTATACAAGATGCCAGAACATACTTAGAAAAAGAAATGTATTCGAGATAATACATGTAATTTTGCCAAGCAGTTATAAGTTATATTACGTTTATAAGCATATACATAGTATTAAATCAAATTCGAATTGGTTCTACAAAGTATACAGTAACTAAATTTGAAACTACTTTTTACTTCTGTTACACTTATTTCATACTTTGTACTTATGCTATTTTAAAAAATTTTTTAAATTAAATGGACAATATTTTTAATATCGATTACATCTTAAAACAGATCAGTTTTTATATACAAAATAAGTAAATATCAAGACTTACTAAAGAATTAGTACTTATTTGTTAACAACTCTCTCTCTCTCTCTCTCTCTCTCTCTCTATATATATATATATATATATATATATATATATATATATATATATATATATATATATATATATATATATATATATATATATATATATATATATATATATATATATATATATATATATATATATATATATATATATATATATATATATATATATATATATATATATATATATATATATATATATATATATATATATATATATATATATATATATATATATATATATATATATATATATATATATATATATATATATATATATATATATATATATATATATATATATATATATATATATATATATATATATATATATATATATATATATATATATATATATATATATATATATATATATATATATATATATATATATATATATATATATATATATATATATATATATATATATATATATATATATATATATATATATATATATATATATATATATATATATATATCTTTAATTTTGTATATGATGCTACTCAAGTTTTTACATAGTTATGCAAACGTGACAATAAAATTTATGTCTAGCTTTTTATACTTAGATACTTATAAGAGTAACTTGAAGCATTAAATGAATTTTATCATTTTAAAAAAATTTATTGAATTTTAATAGATTTAGTTTAAAGATATACTTATTAAAGCAGAACAAAATGTTATGTTTCAGTCATAATCGGAAAAACTTATTTATAGAAAGCAGATTAAAATGTATTTTTTGCTTGATGTTCCATAATTGTAATTACATATTTCGTTTATATGTACTATATATACGTATGTATATACAATTGCAAGTACAAATTGCATTAAATATATGTGCTATATTTTTTCTATAGATGTATTTATGTTTATACAAAACTTGTATATAATCGTAAAATATATAGATTATATTTGGAAGATTTTAATAAAAGAAATAAATATTTAATGTATATCTCTTAGTGCGGTTTATACTGTATAAATCAAGGTATATATACAAGGAAAAGGGCAAAATTATAGATTATTATTATTTATCAGATCACAGATTATTTATTTACGGTGATCATTCTATATACAAAGTAACAGTTTCTAGTTACAACAGGTAACTCACTGTCACTGTCAGAGTTTTATAAATGTGCTACCCTTTTTGTAATCATAAAACTGGTAGCAAGTTACTATAATTTGTAGCACATTGTTATATCTAATTTGGGGGCAGTGATGACCTGCACTGATATCTGTATTACAGAATAAATACTTGAAATGTATGGCAAAACATTGTTCGACAATGTGTACTGTGAAGGAATAAGGTAATTTATCTATGCTCTTTTTCTTTAACTATAATTGATTCAATTAAAAATATTGTTGACATCTGATAATTAAGCTAATCCATACTTCTTCTTGAGGGATTCTGGCATTTCTGGTGGTGGTGGGCGGGGCATTCGGAGCCATACTTTAACTGCATCATAAATGAACCATTGTGCTCCTGTTAAAGTACCAATCATAACAATACGTGGACCAAGACCTTTCCATACTCCAGTCAAGCCCATCTTTTTCAGAACATCGACAGCTGATGCTCCTTTTTCTTGATTCAATTTTGATACAACCTGTGTTACAAATATGTAAGTCGATTAAATTATTAAATTAGATGCAGCTAGAAATAAAAATGTACGCGTATAAGAAGTATACTTACAGAATCAGCAGGATGAGATACAATTGCACAAAATACACCAGCAATATATCCCGCAGCAAAAGTAACAACCAACTGTTCATTTTTTGTACATTCTTGCCTTGGTTTGGGAACTACATACTTGTACAGGAGCTCAAGAGTACGTTCAAAGCAAGCAAACTTCATCATCGTGTATGGAATCTGACGAAGCCACAAAGGTACCAACCCTTTATAGAAACCACTAATACCTTCTTCACGATATATCTTTGGCATAGCTTCCCTTAAAGTATTTGCAAATCCTGGTGTAGTTTGAATCTTCACCTATAAACATAGCAAATATGTTTTGTGCATTACAATTCATGCTATGTTACAAATGTTTAAAGAAATTTACAATACATGATATAAGATGTGACATATTCTTATTTTAGGTGTTAAAACAGTTACATATATCATAAATGCAAATATAATTTATACTTACTTTAGAAGCTTCAAAAGGAGCTAGACCAATATCAGCAAAAAATTCTGCAGATGCTGATGAAATTAGATACAAAGTTGTTCTATACTCGTATGCCTTTTCCTCTCCAGCAAGAGCTGAATAATATACTTTAAACACTTCATAAAGTCCAAATTTGAACATTCCTTGGATGGAGTAACCAAAGAATGTTGGAGCCCATCCTTTAGCCAGGCCTCGAGTTCCATCTTCAGCCATAGTTACCTGAATAATAAAATGTCCAAAATTAATCTCTTATTTATAAATAAACAAGAATAAGTATAACCATTTGAGTCCCAGGGGTCATTGAAAAAATAGGGTCGAAAAATCCCAAACAGCGCGATAGCGCTCGTCATATTTGTCACTTTATGAAATACATATATATTATTATATATGCGTACTATTAGTTCATAAATATTTCAAGTTTTGTTCAATAAAAATTATTGAGAAGATAACAATGAAATATAAAAAACCGTTAGTCGACCGTAGCGTTCATATATACTGGGACTTTTTGACATAAAATCGAAACAGAGCGATCGCGCTGCTTGGGACAATGAAATAATATCAATGAGATAATTTGCTTACTCTGAATCCATTGAAAACTGATTTGTACTTTGCAGGGTCTACTTGAATACGGCATTTTACCAAATCCAAGGGAGTAACCATAGTATGAGTGATACCACATGACAAAATACCACCCAAGCCACATAGCATAAAGTATTTATTTGATCCAAATTCACAGCTATCTAAAATACAAAGAAATCTATTATAATCCAAATATGTTATATTAATTTTTATTTAATCGACAATTTAAAAAACTATCATAAGTAAACCGTTAGAAAGTGCGCGTGGAATTCGAATTTGGCAGTATTTCAGAATTGGTATGAACGATCTTGTTACCTTGATCTAATCTAATAATAAACTTTTCAAGTACAGTAGGATAATTATGTTCTCGGTCGCGGTCACCGTACTAACGTACACTATTATTTTTATTCTAATGTCAAGCAAGGCTATGAAGACGAGATTTGCACGCATAATTTTCGACAAAATGGCTGCTTCTTATGCAACTCTTCGCATTACTAACAATAATCGAATGTGAATAACTTCTTATTAAATCATTTTAAGTCAATATCTTGTATTAAACAATATTCGAGAGTCTCAAAAATGCTAGTTTCACTAAAAAAAAACCTATAAAAAAAGAAAAGAAAACAGAAATATGCATATGAATCGATAACGACATAACTCACCATGCGGCCAAATCTATATCCATTATATAATTTTTTTCATGATAACTGAATTAACAAATTTACCATAATTTGCAATAAAGTAATTGTTAACGCTGAGACATTAACTTAATTAATATCTAAAACTACTAGAAGGCAATTAACTTAGATGTACAAATTTATCTTGAAAATTTATCTAAATCACAAGACACTAGTAACAATTCTATAGAATACTAGGAACAATATTTTGGATTATGTAATAACGATTATTGATTTGAAATTCTTTTGAAATATTGTCAATACTTTCTTCCATTACAAAGAAGAAAAATTAATTCTCAATAAATAGGGGTCAATAATCTATAATTATCGTTAAGGTAGAGTAGTTATGTATCTGTCCAAAGCCAAAAACTATTGAATCAATGTTAATTAAATTACTCCAGCTATACATAAAAGTTATTTAACAAATTACTAACCGCCTGATGATACAGAGGCAGCTGCAATATGACGATTTCTAACGAGCGCTTGTGTAAGTTCTTTCTGGCCCTGACATTTAGCTGTCACGAAAGGAGTTCCGAATGGATTCGTTTTGGCTATGTCCAATATTGAAGGCCACATCTTGCCTATTTTACTTCACCTGCATACACCACCAATTGACGTTAATTTCTATAAAATAATTATATTAGTTTAAATTACTGGCTACAAAACCTTGACAAGTAAGACTCTTGACTCCACCGGCTTCGCCCGATAGGAAAAGAGTGGCAGACTTGGCTAACGGAATCCGTTTAGTAACATAGTCCACTAACTATCATTCTACAGATAGGAAATTAAATCTCTGTGCATGACAACGCCATCTGACGAGCTCTATGAGAACTAAATTCTACTAAATGAATCTTCCACATTCACACAATATAGTTTGTCCAACACATAGCGTATACAGCCGTGAACAGAAACAAAATTTGAATACTGCAATTGTAATTTCTTAATCTTTTACAAAATTAAAATATCTGATACCTTTTAACACTTTGTGATTGATTCTATGCCATCGATATTTTGAAAAATGAGTCTGAAAAAATAAGATAAATTAATTTATGTAATTATGTATCTATGGAGCTACCATATCATTGAAAAAATTAGATTTAAGTAGTAGAAAAAGAAATTGTTGAAAGATTTTTAAGAATATAAAAATATTTATCAAAAAATTTTTGAAGCAAACGCATATACTTATAATAGTACTATACGAGCAATAAAGGTTATAAAAAAGAATAAAAACGGAAATTCATAAAAATTAAGATAATCGTGTTTTCTAAGAAGCATATTAAACAAATATACAAAATTACTATATAACATAAATTTAATTATATATAATAAATATTACAATTGCAAAATGTAAATTTCCAAGACCCGAAGACAGTGTTTAGTGTTGAAGGATTCCTCGAAACGTCGATTCTATTTGAAATATATTCTTAATGACTGTTGTATTTTATTTATAATACTGTGAACAACATTCATTATAATCAAATATGATTCTTACATTTATTAGTGTGCAAGCTTTGAGACATGAAATAAAGAGAATTCCAACACTTTTATTTCGTAGCAAAACTAACGAAGCGTGTGCTCTCAATGAATTAGATAATTCGGCAGACTCAGATAAGGTAACCTGTTCTTATATACTTATATGTTTGATGAAAATATAACAAAGTAATAAATATTTTACCTTATTTTACTCTGACAGCCAATTGACATTAAAAATCCATACGAAAAAGAACGACGATTGTGTATTTTATGTAAACTAAATATTAATCCAGATTATAAAAATGTACGTTTATTATCTCAATTTCAAAGTCGCCATACAGGTAGAATTTATGAAAAACATATAACTGGTTTATGTCACCATAAACAGAAAAAAGTGGAACAGGAGATAAAAAAAGCACAACAATGTGGTAATAATATATTTTTCCTGTTTTAATGTTATTTTAAATATATTTTATAGTAATTTATGGTATCTTATCGTGTTTAATTATTTTTTTGTTTTAGGTTTAATGGGTTTCATGACTAAGGACCCCAAATTTGTTAATGATCCAATGTTATTCGATCCTAACTTTCCATTTAAGCCTCATAAATATTAAATGTAAAGTACAAAAATTGTAGGTATTTACATTTCTACTGATTCATTTTTATTTAAGATATGTACATATGTATTATAAAAATATAACAATAAAATAGTTACAATACGAATTATTATAGGATATTTCTTTTTTAATATTTAATTAATAGAATGTATCATCATTAATAGAGAAATGAACTATATCAGGATTAATGTTAAATGAAGACAAAATTTCAGACATTTTTACTATTTGACCACTTTCTCCTTGCAAAATTTTTTGATGGTCTATAAGAGCACTTTGACAACATTCTGTCCACTTTTTTATAGCATCTTCTAAATTTTCTGCTTTGTTCTTTAATCATAAATAATTCATTTATATCATAGTTATTTATAACACAATTTATAACTAATATATCTTCTTACAAATACCTTTTTTTTATATGACAACTCAGTTTTCAAAATTTTAATAGTTTCTTCCTTTTCCTGTATACTCTTTCTCAATGATTCTAAATCAGTTTGATATAATTTTTCTTTTATTTCAATGTCAATCTCCTTGTTACAATTTTTTGTGTCTAAATATAATTTTTTAGGAGAAGGAGATTGTTGAAAAAGCAGTCTTTTCGCTACAGATACTTTTCTGTTTTATAACAAAATAATAAAAATTATGACTGAACATTAATTTGTTATCATCTTTTTTTATACTTACAATGGTGTTCCATATGTACTTGTTTCTGGTGCATTTATGTTATCTTTTTTATCATTATTTTGAGGGGTATTAAATGGAGACCGGAAGGGTTTATTTACACCTTTACTATTTCTTAATGGCTTAGCACTCATATTTCTGAAAATAGTACACAATTATTTGATATGTATTTGCAACAGATTTTATTATATCTATATTTAATGTGATTACGATATATCCAAATAATTCAATGAAGTATTCTGTATTCAAACACTCACATCAATGTTACATAAATATATTGTCCATTATAGTTATAAACAATTAAATATAATAATATTTATCAAACAATTTCAATTTCATACCGGTATATTTCATATTATTTATTTATTTCTCTATAGAAAATATGCTTTTACCAGTGGTGAAGTATCCTAAATGTACTATAGTTTATTTATACACAATATATTTTCTTGAATGGAAATACAAAAATGATATTTTTAAGTAACAGTATCTATATATATCATTATTATAAATGTCTAAATATATGAGATATCTTTACAATAAATAATTAGAAATTTTGAATCGTAACTTAACATAAATTTAATATAAAATACTCTTAATATTAAGTTTCCACTCTACATTTATATAGCTCATTGTTGTACTTCATTATATGTACTCTAACCTCTATGAACTAGTGACGCCGACTAAGTACAAGTATTTAGTAGATAAAAAGTATAGTTATTAAATACACTTATTATATTATATTTGTTCTTAAATATTATTTGAGTAAGTTAGATTAAAATTATGGTTGTACTTATTGTACATTGTGTTGAATTTATATGATTACAATTATCTCTGTCTTTCTCATCATGTTTTTATTGTCAATAAATATTGTTAATTCTGATTTCATTATAAAAATACTTTTCCATTTACAGTGGCAATGGATATTAGGCCGAATAATACAATTTATATTAATAATTTAAATGAGAAAATAAAGAAGGATGAATTAAAGAAATCATTATATGCAATTTTTTCTCAGTTTGGTCAGATATTAGATATTGTAGCATTAAAGACATTAAAAATGCGTGGGCAAGCATTTGTTATTTTTAAAGAAATTGCTAGTGCTACAAATGCCTTAAGGTCAATGCAAGGATTTCCATTTTATGACAAACCAATGGTGAATGTTAATTATATGTGAAAATAATTTCTTTATTAGTGAAGTATTAAAGTTGTTAATAGTTACTAATTAATTTCATTTTAGAGGATACAATATGCAAAGACTGACAGTGATATAATTGCAAAAATGAAAGGCACATATGCAGAAAGACCTAAAAAGCCAAAACGAGTTGTACCTGCAGCTGATGAAGAAGCTAAACGTGCTAAGAAACGTGCCAAAGAGCAAGCTAAACATTCACAGCAAATTGGTTATCATGCTGGCGTGCCTCAACACCCAGGTTTAGTTAATACAGCTGTACCAGAACAACCACCAAATCAAATATTGTTTCTTACAAATCTACCGGATGAAACTAGTGAAATGATGTTATCTATGCTTTTCAATCAATTCCCTGGTTTTAAAGAAGTACGTCTAGTACCAAATAGGCATGACATTGCATTTGTTGAATTTGAGAATGAAGTTCAGTCTGGGGCTGCAAAAGATGCTCTTCAGGGATTTAAAATCACACCTTCTCATGCAATGAAAATTTCATTTGCAAAAAAATAAAGTATGCAACATTATTGTGTTTGTACGAACAAACATATTATTAATGAATGGAAAACTGTGTGTGTGTTGTAATACATCTTATTTAGACATTTATGAAAATACATGCAAGTGTAATTAAAGATTTTTCGGGCAAGGATTTATAAACGTGAGTTAACAACATGCTATGTAGATTCAAGAATCATCTGTGTACAAAATTTTATGTAATGTATACATATGAATCAAATTTTACACTGTAAATAGCAATTGAAAAGATATATTACAATTTTTCAGCAATATTTTGGTTATATAGAGAACTATTTTTCACTTAATGTTATAATGATTTGGAAGAAAAGTTGTAAAACCTTTTAATATAAATTAATTTCAATTATAGCAGTTTACATATATATAATTCCTATTATTCTTAATTTTCATTTTATGTATTGAATATCAGTATATTTCAATTAACTTTCTTCTTATATAAAGTAAAGATAGTAGAATATCTTAATTACTAGTTAGTATAGTTGAAATTTAAATTATGTGAAAATACAAAAATTAAATATTTTTTGAAGAAATTACTTTACTCGCTAAATTAATTTAATATAAACTAAAATTATAGAATTAATATAATGTTTCCGTTAATAACATATAATTATATTCCCATCAAATAACCAATCTTATAACTTTCTTAAATACTGTATCATTCTTATTTCATTGCTCGTTGTTTATCAGAGTAATACAATTTTTACAATATAGTAGTAATATATATGTAGAATAATAAAGAATAAAAATAATTAAAGTCCTAGGAAATATATAATTTTAAGTAATGTCATAACATTTTGGCGGGAATCAGTTGGCGTGATGTATAAAGAGTGGGGGTACGCTTCTTAGGACAGCGAACGAATCGGAGTACAGTCCATCATCTCGATCAGGTCAGTCGCGTCTCGCTATTCGCGCAGTGTATTGTGAGTTGATGCGTTACGGCCCGTTTACGGAGCTTTTAGCTTTGTGTAGCGACGCGCGCGCGTTGGTATTAAAAGGACGCTAAGAAGTGAAAATATTTGAGCAGCTTGCATTCATACTTCATACATAAGATAATTAAACACTTTCATATAGATTATACATAGGAAAAGACCATAACTCGGTTTTCTTACAGTACGACGCGCGCGCCGACTGAACGATTGCCTTTGTCTTCATATACACGAGATATTTCAGGTGAGTGCTTGTCAATGACTTTTTCTCCGGTAAATATTACATCCATTCAGACTGTATACGCATTCGTTCTTATGGAAGATTACAAATCTTGTAAATGATTTCATCAACGATATTTTCGTCAATATTTCGCGGAAAATCGATTACTACTTACAGAGATATTTATTCATTTTCTTATAAAGAAATCGGTGTGGTGGACGCTACCACGACTCTGGTGTTGCCATGATTTGTCGATCATGGCGTCCCTAAAAGCCAAGTGATGCTATCATATGTGCATTTAATAACGACTCTTCGTACAATAATCATTATTTGCTTACAAATAAACGGGAAAAATTGTTACCTTTCTGTATAATTACATATTTCCACAAAAGAATATATGGAAAAGGATACAATATATAGGACACATAATATTTTTGAAAATGGCGGGCGCGGACGTTTCAGAAAGTACTTCTTTATTGTTGTAAATGATTATTTTCTTCTACAAATTGATAATAATATTTATTATAATTTTATTGTTTTGTAATAAATCAATAATATTTTATTTATATATTTACACTTACTAAGATTTTAGGTTGGATAATTAATTTTGCATAATTATTTTATTCGGTCGCAATTAACCGGTTAGCAAACCGCTAGTAATGTTCGATATGAATGTACATTAGGCGCGTAATTTGTTGAACTTTAGTACACTAAAACCCAATCAGTATTGATAATTTTCGTTTTATCAATTCATAGAGGAGTATATGTATATGTTGATATAGATATTAAATTGTTATTAAAAATTCGAATTAAGTAAGTTTTATGAGAAAGTTTGAAAATCGATAGCTTGGCAAAACTTTTCATATTTGTCTATGAGAATGTTTACATTTTTTATACTATTACAAAATGTTATAGTATTATTAAACGTTTTAACAAATTTCTACGCGGTTTTTTAAAGAAATGTATATATTTAATTAATCTAAAATATGAATATCTTTTTTATTGTAGATTTACTTTCATTGAACAAATTTTTTTTAATCTTAAATTTAAAATAAATGTTAGTAATTACAAAATTCTAATATAACTAAAATTTTAAAATAAATGTTTATATTGTAAGAAAAAGTTTTTGGTTATGCAGTGATATATAAAGGATTAAAAATGTCAGACGACAATTCGCCTGTTGTTGAAGAACAAAAGAAAAAGCGTGGTAGGCCAGCGAAAACAGATAAAAATACCGTTAAAGAACCCAAAAAGAGAGGCAGACCTTCTACAGATAAAAATAATGCAGTACGAACTGCAAAGTCTGATAATGAAGATGATGCATCGCCTGTACCTGTCAAAAAAGGGAGGGGGCGACCAAAAGGATCTCATAAAAAGAAGGTATGTGTCATTTTTTAAACAGCTGGACCAGAAAGAAATGTTTCTTATCTTTAAGTAAATTACTTATTATACAAAAAATTAATTACAGCAAGGTACAACTAAAGGAACTCCTTCAGGACGAGGTCGTGGTAGACCTAAAAAGAAAGAAGAAAAACCAGAAAGTACTGGAGAAGAAGAGGATGAACAAGAGGAAGAAGAAGAGGAGGAGGAGGATAATTGAATGTAAAAAAATAAATTCAATGTATGAGAACTATTCTTTGAAAGTTTTTAAAAAACTGATAACAAATTTAAAACTTTTAAGTTTGCTTTTTATATGATAATCTGCAAATTGAAATAGTAAAGTGGTAACATTTTGCTTTTAAAAAAAGAAGAGGGAGAACAAAAACTGCTCAAGTTCCAAGGAAGTTGTATGAAAATATGATTTTTAATAACTACAAAAAAAGAAATTGCACAGATACCTGGCTTGAAAATATGTAAAGCACTTTCTAGTATCTACTTTATGCATTTTTATTATAATTAGTATTAATATAATGATAATTATTAGTATTACTTTTATTATTATTACTATCATAATCATTATATTTTAAGTATCAAAATGAAAGATACAAGTATTTTAATGAAAGAAATTTTAAACTTAAAATATTCAGATCTCATAAACTAACTTGGAATTAAGATAATGAAGACTTTATCTAATTTTAAGATATGTGGTGCACAATTACATCATACATTTGTTACCTCCTTTGCTCTTGTGTATGTATATTTTAATTCTTGAAGTCAAAGACTTCATATAAATTTAATACTGTAAGAAATACTTCTTGTGTGTACTATGTACAAGAAATATCTTTTTTTAATTACATTTGAACAAGTGAACATTAATGGCATTTTTCAAACAAACATATGTGTGAATGTCAAATTTGTATTAAAGTAAATAAACTTATAAAATGACTCTTATTAATCGCTACATTATACACATATACCTTTCATTAACAATATTAACAATATACTTTATATTCTAGCTAAAGTTATTGTACTGTTAAAATTTTGTTACTATATTACAATGTTAACAATATATCTTCATGCATTCTCAATTGGTCATCTTAAAAATTATGTTTGAAACTGTTTAATTTTTAATCTTTTAATACTATGTAATAAATACTTAGAGAAAAGAAATTTAACAACATCAGATAATATCTATTCATAACTACTTAGGAAGAAATTTTTGGTAATATTGGAAGTATACTTGTAACTTTTTGTTGAACATTAAGTACCTAATTTTTTTATTCTCTAATACTAGAAAATTCTTATATTAAATATAAATAGAAAAAAATTCATATCTTCGAAGGAAAGGATATGAAAAAAAATATACATAAGTGAAATTCAAGTACATAGCAAAAATTGTACTTTTATGAAAAACTGTTATAAACAGTATACAATAAATATTAATGATAAAATGAAGTCTTAGCCATTTTGGTCTTGTTAATTCTCTATCATGGAATTTTTAAATTAAGCATTATTCATTTTATGGATATTATCTTATTGAAACAAAATAAATTCTATTGTATTTTTACGTAATTTTTGTGATAGGATAAACTCTCTAATATTTAAATATATTCTAGAATACCTCTTCTCATATATAAAATTTATGAATTTAAATTTTATCCTTTGAATTGAAAGTTACATATAAACTATTTAAATATTAAATAAATATATAAATCTACTAAATAGTGTGATTTTTTAAATGTAAGACAGTTGTAGATAATACAAAGGTTTTAAAAGACTATTATAAATATTTCGTCAATGATTTCCAAAGAGTTCTGCATTTTCTTCTGTATCCATAGATTGATACCCTTGCTGTAAGATAAAGTATTCTATACTAACAATATATATTTATCAATTTGAATATATATATTTTTATACATACACGTCTTTGATGATTATTGTAACATTCTTCTAATAATTCAGTTTCCCAGTCATCTTCCTCTTCTTCACCAGGATCAAAATTATACATTGGCATAAGTCTATGTCTTAAACGTTCCAATTTTCTTTTCCTTGAGATAATTATCACCTTTAAAAGTATTATACATTGTTAAAACATCTATATTTTGTCAAATATTATGCAATCATCTAACTTTGTTTTTAATAGTAAAAGAAGTTACTTTTAATAGGTTGTTACTTTTAAAAGCTACAAACTAATAAAATTTTAAATATAAATTACAACATTAACTGACCAACAAACTTAAGCTATACTACAAAAAGGTAATAATACCTAATGTAGAAACATTTATCCAAGTATTATAATTTGCTGAATATTTTATACTTTTTTTTTTGTTTCTGCAAATGAAAGTTAAAAGATTAAGATTTAAATACAAAAGTGATATCGCTACCCATACCACAGCTGATAATACAATAACAAAGACCACTACACCAAGTGGTACAAAAATGTATTCTATTCCATCAGGTGGGCCAAATTCGTCAAAAATTTCTGTTGTTGTAGATACATATGTACTGGTACTTGAAGCTTCAAATGAAATTAGTGTATTATTAGGTAATGATGTTATAGGTTTAGAAACATTCCACAATCCATTTTCTTCTGTAGAATTCATATATGCTTCAGATATTTCACTGGATATATTAATCGCCATGGTGGTAGTATAATTTTTAATGCTGTCAGGTAGTATTCCGGATGTTATAGAATTTGTAACACTTGTTGAGTTCATCTCATTCATTGCTGTTAATTACAAAATTGTATTCAACCTTTTGTGAGATATAACTCTAAGTATATTGGAAAAGAACTCATTAATATCTACATTATTTATATTTTATCCTATAGAAATTGAAATTTTTCAAAGCATACACTTTCTATTGTCACTCGTTTTACTTTGTTGTATCAAATATAGTGAACGTAATGTACAAGAAGCATAACGGTAAATATTGTTTGTTATTAATGTATCAATACATATATATATATATGTATAACATCGATATATCAATATATCATTCTATGAGACACTATAATTCTATATGCTTTGAATAGACATAGTAGACAAGTATATCACTTTTTATTTCACGATATCCGCGATTATAAAATATAAACCGTTTGAAATGAAAATCACTTTCATCGGTTTAACTTCGTAAACGAGTGAACAATTATTCATTTTGATCAATTTTCGTGTTATACTATCGGTAAAATGCAATAAGAAGTTTGTTCCATCAAAGATGTTGTCGATTTAATCTTTGTGCACTTTTTCCGAAAAATTTTTTTTCTTCTTAACAATTCGTTGATCACTCGTGACAAAAATATTAAAATATGTTTAAGATACAATTATGTGTTTTCATCTTTCCTATGACTGATTTGTCGAAATAAATATTCTTTCCCTGACTCATTGATTCTACAAATAGACCATAGTTCTGTTCGGAACATGATATTCATCCTTTACACAAAAGCAAATGTTTCTGTAATTGTGTTTTCTCTTTTAGTTTTAACATTTCATTTCAATATCGCAAATCGCAATGCAGTTTTCTTTCATAGACACACTATATGTATGTTGTATAACTTGTATATGAAAGCGTATGTGCCAAACTATAACGAAATGAACCATACTATCTATCGATGTCTTATCGAGATATTTTTTCATATCGATTTTAATATCTTTCATAATATCGTGATGTATGAAATAGTTGAGTAATTTGAATTTTTTACTTAAATTGAATATTTATACGTAGAAATACATAAATTTCGAGTGATTTGTTAAAATTATAAATGTCATATATGTCATTGATTTATATATTTATTTACACGACTTAGATTATTTATTTACTTTATAAACGCATAGTTACAATAAGCAATAGCAATTTTTATTTTATAATTAAACATTTCTTTATTTAGTATTTTTAAATTAAAAATAAATTAATTATTATATATGTACAAATTCTGAATAAATAAGGTTTTATATAAGATGAACAATTATTTTTATTATAAAATTTTTAATATTTTTTCACATGTTTACAAATACTTTATATAAACATTATTTTATACACCAAAAACATAGAAGATCGTAAGAATTATTTCCAATTTTAATTTAGAAAAATGATAGGAATTACAGATCTAACAATTCTTATTAGAGCATAAATATATAAATGAATCAACCACAATTTTTTTCTGTTCACTGTAACTATTTAATCTAATAGTAAAATTAAATTACAATACAAAATACAAATATGCTGAAACATAAATTCAACTAGTAGCTTATTATTTTTAATGACGAGATTTAGATTTTTTTTATATGTTACATAATTAATGAAACAGCTTCTTTTTCCGTTTAATATAAATTAATTGATTTTATAAACCTTATATCTTTTCATCTGAATATCTCGATTGTCACTTATTACAGTGGATAAAGATATTTCTAGTACAATTTAAATAGTTCACAAATGATACTACAATATTTATTTAGAAAAATATATTTTTGGGAAATTACATAAAGTAGGATAATTGTCTTTTTACATGTGAAATTCATAACTTCCTCCTTTATTAATTTACCAATAGTAAGAATTATTTATGTAAAAAGTTCAACAATATCTCTTTATATTAGTACTAGACCCTACAATAATAACAAAAGTATTCAACACTTTTTATGCTAAAGAACAACAGATATGCAATGAAATGTATATTTTATATAAACGTAGATTTACATAAAAAAGATAGATAAAAAGTTATGAATTGAAAAGTTTAGTAAGAAAACGGGACAATAAAAGTTATTTTACTAATATTAAAAAGTGGAAACCATTCTTGTGATCAATATAGGGAATAGAAAGTTAAAACACGAATTATGATACATAATAAATTTTGAAGATATAAACACTGAAAAAAATTAATGTTTTACTTTCTATGTCCATGTGTGACGCAAAAAAAGTTGAATTTATATAATTTACACACAATCGTTACAATAAATAGTTTTCATTGCTTTAACAGTGTTCAAAATATATTATAACTTTTATAGTGCTTATACTATAAAATCATCTGTATTTGCAATTAGTTCCTAAATCTTAATTATATTAAGTTTTGTTCGTTGCCATATATCTGTACTCTGTTTCGTTTTCGTACAATATTTTTCAATTTGTTTTCAATAAGTAAGAGAACTGCACGAAACAAGAGATCAGTTGTTATCAGTTAATAAAATGATATTTATAACTTTGTATTCATTTTGTATATAGTGAAGTCATTGCACAAGGAAATTGCATTATTTAAATAAATTCTTCACATAAAGGAAGAAACAACAAGTGTAAATAATTATTATTTGTTATTTTGTACTGCTGAAATTTTTGGTAAATATGACAAACGTTTTAAACTTTGAACTTAATACAAAGTTAGCTATATTTTCCATAAATTCAGAATTACGAAATTGCAAAAAATTTCATTTAATTAAATGTTATAAATTCACTATTAATAATCTTCATTATCACGTATTGTACTTCATTATTTAAATCTTTGTAAATTTTCTTGAAAATTCTTTTTTAATCATGATGAACTAGAAGGAAAATCTTGTGTTATTCATTTTTATGATATTGTTTCCAGCAGTTCTTTTGTAGTACAGATCTACCAACATACAAAGATTTAGGAATCTTTTTAAGTCTCGATAAAGGTACATAATGTGAAATCCAACAACACGATATTATATGCTCATTGCATAATTAAAAAGCCATCACCTGCGATGGATTTGTACAATCTCCTATTGTCATTCTATACATAGCCATCTCTGTTATTCCATGGTAATGAACAAAAGCTGCTGCAATTACTAACACGTGGAAGATTTGATGACTCTGAAACTGAATAGTATGGTAATTTAGAAATTCATGAAATTGATGACTAGCAAGTACACTTAAAAGTACAAAAATAAATATTTACCCAAATATCGAACTTGCCAGGGAAAAATCGTTCAGGTACTCTTAATGCATAAAACATTGCACCTAATATATACAAACATCCCATTAATATTAACCATCCAAGAGATGCCTGACTAATTGCCTTAAACCAACCCTCTGCAATAGCATAATGTACTGCTGGTATTACCTAAAGAGAAAAATGTAATATCTTAATTATGGTGTATTATTTAATACAATTTATCATTTCTAACAAGTTGTTTGTCACAGAAATGTAATATAGCACACACTACTCACTCCACTAAGACCAAATCCCATAAAAACGCCTGCCCTTAATGGCCTGTAACTTGGTTCACCAAATCGTTCCCATAATGATACGACGATACTCGTTACACCAAGTATTACAACTACTGATAAATAAATAAGCTTAGGTTGGTAATCACAGTAAAAACCATAGTAAAGCCATGGTACAAAACTACCCATAATTAACATAGCTATTCCACAGTAATCTAATTTTGAAAACAACTTTCCAACACATTCACTGTGGCAGTGTACAGTATGAAAGGCAAATGACATTCCTAGACATATAATAGCACCGGCAAAGAAGGTACCAAATACCAATTTTTCTTCCAATTGTATTTCTATAGGAGGTTGTGTTATAAAGAAGATAGCTATGCCAATAAATGCCACACATCCTATGGAAAGAATGAAACATATTAATCTCCTAGAAAAGTCATTCAAGAAGCAAATTTAAATATCTTCCAGGATAAATATTAAATTTTACCAAGTAAATGAGTCCAAATATTTCCTGTCTCTGTATGAATTCGAAATATACTTTTAAAACAAGCATAAAAAGATGGTAAAGGTGGTCTGTGACCAGCATGTAAGAAATCATTATCCTGCAACCACTTTGGAAGATTTCTGAAATGACATTGCTTCCAGGATGCTTCCCAAACCTTTAAAAAGTAGACAGTTAATATTGTAAATAAAAAGTTATTTGCTAATTCGTAACATAAAGATATATTCATATAACTTCTAGATACCTTACGAACAAATTCTTCTGCTTGTTCTGCAGCATTATGTGCTAATGCACCAAGATCAATTTCATCACTTAACACACCAGCTTTTAACACTTCTGTCATCTGTAAAAGGAAACACTAAAATCTATAACCTGATTCCTTTTTTGACTAATGCATGATATGGGATAACCTATTAACAAGTACTGCTAGTAATTAGGATTATGATTATATACCTCACAGTCCAGAAGATGATCATCTTCAGGAGTTGAAGGTAATGGACAACCAACTCCATCTTCTTCTTCTGCTAAACAGCTTGCATCGTCATCTTCCAATAGCTCTTTAACTTCATGTAAGCCTGGTATTTCACTGTTTAATAACACGCGTTCACTCCATGGGATTCTATGCCGAATCTCTGATTCTGGTATCGCACTATCATCACTCCTTTTGTCTTCCACAATAACATCCTCATATTGTGACATGTTGTGGAATTTTAATTACTAATTTCTAAAACATATAAGTGATCACAAAAATAAATGATTTAAATATGATTTAAATATTAATGTCAAATTTACATGTTTAGAATAATATAAAATCGAAAAATGATATTGCGTATTAATAAACATTAATACACAATATTAAATAAAAGGCGATTTACCCTGTAATTACGTATATCAAGAAATTATAAATTTCCCGATAATAAATATATTTATTTCGAGATTATTTCAATTTAATTATAGGACTCGATTAAAAAATAAAACATAATACAATAATTAAGTTCTTAAATTAATGGGTTCACGAGAATAGAAATCAATTAATTTATTCAGCTTCGCACTATTAACTGACTATATAGTTCGATTTTTAAAAAAGCTAATAAGTAATTGCCAAGGTCATGACTTCTTATCGGAGTGAATTACATAAATGTACACATATGATGATTATTACGAAATGGCAATAAATAATAATTTAGTTAACACGTAAAAGTTAAATGACAACTATGTATACATATTCCCAAATAGAAATTAGGAATTATATCGAAATGTCATAATCATTGTGCATATGATCATTATATAATAAAAACCACTTATATTCAATACATATTTGAAAACTATAATTTTATAATAAACGAGAAACCGCAACAGAAGAAATAAATTTCACAAGTACATAGTACAAAGTTCAATTAACAGATTGAATAGAAGACATTTCATTTGATATGCCAACATACCCGTTATATGACAATTCTTCAAAACTGTTACATCGACGCCATAGATATTTAAAGTTTTCCAATAGTAAATAAATTGAAATAATTCAAAACATGTTTCATGAGAGATATAGATGATTTTTACGCAAGTACTAATTTTGGTTGTTCATCGTTACGACAATAGACGGAAATACCCGAATACTACATAGATACCACGTGTCAACATTTACATATGTATGATTGTCAGTAGTCAGTGGCGATATCCACTTTGCGACTATAATTTACTATCTATTAAACATGTGCGTAAATTGTACAACTACATTATGTGTTAAGAAATTTATCAAGGCGAAATAGATATTAATATATTTACATTTGTTTTCAATTAAATGAAATTTAATTCGATTAATTATTTTTAAAATATATTACTTTAATATGAAGATTTATTTTTAGTATAAAATTAATTAAAGAACTTAACAAGATAATGAAATTTCTTATTTAAGTAAACTTATGTATCCTTAATTAAAAAATACAATAAGCTATGTCAGATAGGTACACAGAAGAATTACATATGACGCATATGAATTTATCGCTTGTTTTTATCTGTGATAATTATCCATAGGAATAATTAAAATAATAAATGTAAATATATATCTACTTACTATAAAAGTATGTTTTTAAAAAATATGTTGGCATCTTTATATAAGATGAAAGTGTATTTATGAAAATAGGAAATAAACATTTACGTATAAATATAATTATTAACTAAACTAAAAATATATACTGGATATATACTAGAATAGTGCATATACTGAAACATATATGTACATATGATTATTCTAGATTCTAAAATAATGATTGCAACCACGATCATATAAGCAGATCTCGACACTTGCTAGGGAAAAACCATCCGAAAATTGAATCGTGTCTAGTCGTGAAAAATCAACATGGACAGTCAACAAAGTCCGCATTCTTGCGAAACAGATAGAGATGATTAGAATGTCTCTATCTTTGTTTGGAATATTAATCGTATGTCACGCATGCGCAGAAAGGGGATTTTCTTGTCTTCCATGTTGATTTTCCGCGATTCAATTTTCGGATTGCTTTTCCTAGGTTTCCGTACATGAGTGTCAGGTATCGAGATCTGTTTATATGATTGTGAATATCGAGATAAAAAATCATAATTAATATTAATGTCATAGATTAGTAGTGAGCAATGGGTTATGTGAAACATAACCTCAAAAAGGTTACGCACTGATAACAGACTAAAAATGATAAAACATATGCTATTTTATAGCTATAGATTATTTAATAAAAATTTATATATTTAAAGTGCTTACATCAAAATGTTTAAATAGTATTATTTATTACTTGTCATAAAAAATTATATTCATTAAAAAATATATTAAAATTCTAAAATCACAGTATCATTGTAATAATCTATTAAAAAAGTGATAAAGAATCAACATTTTTTTCATACTCAGTACTTTAATAGTTTTAGTATAGTTTAATATTAAAGTATAGTAATTATTGTAATGTAATATTTAACTTATATAATTAAATATATTTAAAAAATGTTAGAAACTGGATTATTGACAAAATTTATATATATTGCAATTGTGGTTACAAATTATTGGTAAGTTCACCTAAATTACTTTTTAGTAACAAATGAAGTTACTTAATTTCTGTTACTTTGTACATACAATTGATTAAATATCTTTGCAGGATAATTTCTATATTGACTGTATTTATAAATAAAACTCTTTTATCCAGTAATACTATAAATTTGGATGCACCTCTTTTTATAACATGGTGCCAATGTATAGTATCTTTAGTTATGTGTGTAATTCTTAGTAATTTATCAAAATGGTTCCCAAAATATATTAAATTTCCAATTGGTAATCCATATACCAAAGAAACCCTTAGAAAGGTAAATTATAATTTTTTGATAATAATTATATCTTTGTTATTCTCTATATATTTATAGGTATTACCATTGTCTCTCCTATTTACTGGAATGATTGCAACCAACAACTTATGTTTAAAATATGTTGACGTTTCATTTTATTACACAGGACGTTCACTAACGACTGTATTTAATGTTATTTTCACATACCTTATGCTAGGTAAGAACCTCTAAAAATAAAATAATTTAAGCAAGTATAATGACTTATGAAAATTTTACAGGTCAAAAGACTTCCATAAATTGTATTGCATGTTGTGCATTTATTGTGATTGGATTCTGGCTTGGTGTGGATCAAGAACACATCGCTGGTTCTCTATCTATTCTGGGAACAATTTTTGGTGTACTAGGATCGTTAACTCTTTCTTTATATTCCATTCACATGAAACAAGTTCTTCCTGCATTAAATCAAGATATTTGGTTACTCTCTTATTGTAACAATGCATATAGTGTCATTATATTTCTTCCATTAATGTTAGCAAATGGAGAACATGTTACAGTGTACAATTATGATAAGATTGGATCTTCATATTTTTGGTTGGCTATGGTTGTTGGTGGTATTTGTGGATTTGCTATTGGTTTTGCTACAGCACTTCAAATAAAAGTAACATCTCCTTTAACACACAATATTAGTGGAACTGCTAAGGCTTGTGCACAAACAGTTTTAGCAACTTATTGGTTTGATGAAAAGAAATCATTCATGTGGTGGATAAGTAACTTTGTTGTACTTAGTGCTAGTGCAATGTATGCTAGATTGAGACAACTTGATATAAGTAGAGAATACAAAGAAGAAAAACAGCAATTGCAAGGTGACAAAATGTGAGTGAATTTATAATTTAAACATTTCATATTCAGATCAAAGTATATATAACATAGATTACATTTTATTGTGTAAGATTTGTATAAAAATAGTTAAGAAAATAAAATTAATTATTTTTATAAAACAGTACAAATTATTTTTCATTCCATTTATCTTAATCTACTTAGGATTAAATCTTAATTAGGATTAAAATTTAAAACATCATAGAAAATCTCACTTTATTATATATAGATATACAAAATATATAGATATATTTAATAAAAAAAATATAGATGAATAAATTATTAAAATCTTGATGCAAGGCCACCTCCACGACTATCTGAATGACTTGACATTAGATCTTTCCTTTTTATGATTGCATTCACGCTTTTTAATACTGAATCAGTCTTTAAATGTGGTGCTGGTACTATTAAGTTTAATTGATTTCGTATTAATGTATCTATAGAATGTTTTGGATCATTTTCTATCACAAATCCATCTGATGAAAAATAATACCTAAACAATAAATTGTGGTTAAGAAATAACATTTCCACTTTTATAGAAGATAAAAGATAAATCCTATTTTCTACCTTGGGTATTCAATAGCTTCAGAAACATTTAATTGACGCACTATGATACTGTACAATAATTGTCCAATAATTAATGTATCATCAGTTCCAAACACTCCTCTTAATCCACATAATGCTTTTTCATTATGAAAGATTATGGGAACAAGCATAGATAAGGTATTATTGGTATCAGCTTTATCTAGCAGGAAGCCAACAGTTGACATATATCCAAGACCAAATGGTGCACCAAGTCCACTGTAAGAAGTGTACATTTATATCACTAAACTTATTGAATAATATATATTAAATCAATATAATACTAACGTTATAATACAAACATAAGTATCTTCCCAATCCATTGCAACAACTCCAGTATATCTTTCTTCTTCAACTAAAATTATTACGGTATGAAATCAACATTGCTGTAAAACATATTTATATATATTTTAAAATGAAAACAGTGAAATATAACAAACCATGTTGTTTTAATTGTAATGGCATTGATACTGAATTTATTAATGTTTTAGCTACTTGCATATCTGCTCCTACTATGGATGCATTATCAGTAGATATGTTAAGATCTTCCAGTGCTGCAATCATTGATTTTAATAATGACATATGTGGAGGATAATATATTACATGTTTATAAAAGCTTGACTTTTTTGCTATATATACATCAGGTTTATAATTTACTAACTGTGGAAGTAGCTTTGATAGTTTAATTCTATCATGTAAAAGCTTTTGTGAAAAAGTTCCATTGTATAATACTAAAAAAGAAACAGGTAAGTGAATGTATTAGAAGATATTAATACAAAAATTTTAATTTAGTTATAATAATGATAAAATTACTGTACCATTAGTTCCTTCCAGTCCTACAGCATTTAACAAATTGCTAAGATCGTGTAACTTTAGTATATCTCCTGCACTAATGTGCCCATATAAAATTTCATAATCAATATTTTTTGATACTTCACTTGCTAGCTCCTTTGATACAACAAATCCTTCTTTGGCTAAAGATACAGAAGGTTTAACAATTTCACTCCATGGTAGTTTACCTTTTAATGTATGTGCATATTCTAATCCCCTTAATACTGCTGGTATACGTATCCCATCTTGTAAAAAATTGTCTAACATACAATACAAATAATGTAAGATCTGAAATACTCTTTAAAATATTATTCAAATACATACCTTTAATTGTATTATTAGCAAAATCAATAATAATTGGTTCTGTCTGTTCTTTATGATTATATAACATCATATAACCACCTCTAAAATAATAATTATCAATTATTATAATTATTAATAAAATTACATATATAACTTACCCACCCAGACCAGTCTTATGTGGAGCAACTACTGTCATACAAATAGTAGCTGCTACAGCTGCATCTATTGCATTACCGCCTTTCCGTAATATTTTGGTTCCAATTTGTGAACAATTTGTATAATCTGTTGCAACAGCACCATGTATACCAGCAGTATTCTGAAATAATATAACATTACACATAACATCTATAGCTTGTTATATGATATGTTTTTTATATTAATTTAAGTACCTGTGGGCTCCCATCAGCATATAATATTTGTAAAATTAATGTTGTTGTAATAGAAATTGTCAAAATGGTGAAACAGCTTATAATGAATTTTAAACCATCTCCACAATACATAGTTAACGTGTATTTGTAACTTCTACTTTTTGTTAAAGGACATTCTTCTCCAGAGCCTTTAAAAATGAAAATAATATATTATAGGATTTCTTACAACATACTGTGTTAAGTAACACAGTAATAATAATTAAAACAGTAATAATAAGATACTTTTGTAATATGTTTCGAAATTTTTGTGTGTATAAAGATACAAGAAAATTTTATACTTAATGAAATTATTGTGAGAAATAACAAATGAAGGTTAAGATAAATGCAGTTTAAAAGGTGACTGCTAAGAATAATTACTATTTATAGTAAACATTAATTTTTATTTAATATTAAACTATGTAAGTACATGTAAAAAATGAAGTAATCAAAGTAACAATCATTGTGTTTCACATTTCTTTCGAAAAATATCACATGCTTGTAAATAAATGCTAATGAGCGTGATAAGGTTACGTATAAATAAAATTTTTCGAATGTTTATAATAACAATAAGAAAACAAATGAAATAAATGGTACTTACAAGAATTATTATAGCGCATCGTAAATACATGAATTAATTCGAATACTGATTGAAAAGAATTAAATGTACGTAAAACTGTTTAATAATATGCAGACAATGTATCTATATCATATTATAGACAGTGTATACTTTTCTCTAACTGTAAATTTAACTGATTTTTTGTACTATAAGATTAATGGAATATAATCGAAAGTATTTTAAAACACTTATACACATTACTCTACATTAAAAAGTTCGTTTAATTACATGCGTTTAACACATGTTATTTAACAAAAAATTGTGTCTATTGCTTTATTTCTAAATAAAGAAAAGAGACAAAATTTATACAAAAAATAATTACTCTTATTTTTTTGTCAGAATATTCTACGCAGAAACAATTTGCTATATTATATATATATATGTATATGACATTTAATTCTTTCTTTGAAACAAAATACAAAATATAAACAAAAATGTCCATTGATATAGCAGAAATGTTAAAAGAACCAAGAATGATAAAAGTATGTGCACCAATGGTTAGATACAGCAAGTAAGTGATAATAAACATTAATGTATTTGTAGTATCTTTTCAGTATATGAAAATAAAAAAATAATATAAATATTAACAGATTACAGTTTCGAACTTTAGTAAGACAGTATGATTGCGATATATGTTTTACACCTATGATCTTAGCTGATTCATTTGTACAATCTGAAAAGGCCAGAGATAATGAGTTTTCAACTAATAATGGGGATAAGCCACTAGTTGTTCAATTTGCTGCTAAAAATGTATATGACTTTCTTAATGCAACAGAATTGGTCGCCCCGTAAGTTCATCCAAAATATTAAGACTAATATCTGATAATCAATATTGGTTTGTGTGCCTAATGAATTATTTTTCTATAGATATTGTAATGGAGTTGACTTAAATTGTGGGTGCCCTCAGCGTTGGGCATTGAAAGATGGATATGGAGCTGACTTACTTAAGAAACCAGATCTTGTAAAAGATTTAATATATCAAGTGAGAAATCGTATTCCATATCCTTTCACTGTGTCTGTAAAGATTAGATTATTGAAGGATATTCAAAAAACTATTGATTTCTGTAGAATTCTTGAAAAAGCAGGTGCTTCATTTCTTACTATTCATGCTAGAACTCCAGAAATGAGATGTGAACCAATTGATCTATATAATTTAAAATTAGTAAGAGACAGTGTGAAGTTACCTCTTATTGCTAATGGAGATGTAAAAAGTTTAGAAAGTGCAGAAAAGCTCTATAAAGAAAGTAATTGTGATGCAGTGATGTCTGCAAGAGGGATTTTAACAAATCCAGCTCTTTTTTCTGGACATTCAATTACACCTCTTAATTGTGTACAAGATTGGCTTGATATTACATCAACTATACCAACTCAATTTATATGTTTTCATCATCACCTTGTATTTATGTTAGAAAAAATGCTCCCCAAAAAAAGTAGGTTGTTTTTTAACAATCTACAAAATAAAGTAGCTGTTCTGGAATTTTTGGAAGATACTTATGGCATAAAACCCAACATCATACCCGAATTATTTAATCTTACTAAATGCACCTTTAACATTTCAAATAAAAAATGTAATAAAGACATTATAAAGGATGATGATGACCTTAATACGAATTTTTTGGGAAACATATTTACAGAACTGTAATTTTATTTATTTATATTCTTAAATTCATGAATGTCTCATAAGTATATGTTTTTTGTATATAAAGAAATTAGTAACGTAATCATGAAACAAAATAATTAATATTATCATTTAAAAAATTTATATATGATATATGTGATATCTATATGAATCAACAACAGATTTAATTCTGATAAATATAACTTTAAATGTTTTTTCTTTAAATATTTCGTACTTGAGATTTAAATGTAGTGGTGCGGAATCAGCTTTCAATAATGGACGATAGGTGTGCTAAAATCTAAGGTAGAAAGTAGAATGAACTGTATCATTTGTATAACCGCGAAACTTGTAAAATTTGTTATTGTCATTGCTTATTAGTTATTAGCTCAAGAAATGAAATGTGGAAAGTAATAATTTTACAGAGTAATGATATTACGAAATAAAGTACACTGAAATTTGAAAATGACATATCTTATTTCAAAATGGTAAGTTTTCATAAAATTGGTTAAAAATTCTTTTATCAAAATTACTTTAGTTTTTATTGAAAAATGATATATTAAAATTACAAAATTAGTAATAATTAATGTACTAGTATAATTTTAATACTCTTTCTTTCGATTTTCAAAAACATGTTCGTGCTTATTATTGTCATTATTATTAGATTTAATTTTATTGTATCCCATATAACAAATTTTTATTTTGTTTTTACTAATCTTATGTTTATTGTATATAAGAATCGATCTTTGGCACCCAGTAAAAATGGCAAACGTCCATTACTATTTGATATATCCAATAATGTGGCAATGCGTCAGGTTGTGTCACCAGTTCAACAAACTAAAAAAAAGGCTTGCCGTAATGTCAAAAATGTACAAATACCAGAATACAAAGCAGTTGCTCTTTCAGCTAATGATGTGCAAGCTACCCAAGAAGTAATTTCTGAACATGTAAGTATTATACATTAAATAGTAATCATTAATAACAATCCTACAATAACATAATACCTACAGTAAAAAATTATAATTGGACTTATAGGAAGAACGTATGAAAAAGATCTTTAGTAAACCATTTAAGATACCAATTCCTGGTTATCAATTATCTGGTCGTGCATTAGGAATACGTTTATCTGGTCCCCGTAGACCATTACATGATCCTGAGGAAGCTAATGCGCTTGTTGTTTATTCACCTCCTGAATTATCTGAACATGAAAAACTGAAAATAGATCAGTAAGTATAAATATTTTGTTTATTTTATAATTATTAGACTTTGTCAACAATTTTTTATAATAGTTCATTTATATTTCAGGTCTAAACAACTTGTACATGTAGTAGTGGATCCTCTATTATGTAATATTTTAAGACCTCATCAAAGAGAAGGTGTAAAGTTTATGTATGAATGTGTAACAGGAAAACGTATTGAAGGTGCCTATGGGTGTATCATGGCAGATGAAATGGGCCTTGGAAAAACTTTACAATGTATAACTCTGTTATGGACTCTATTAAAACAAGGTAAAATAATATTATTTTATGTATTATATACAATATGTACTTACATTAATTGTTAATTACGTTAATTACGTAACTGTGTTTTGTAGGACCTGAAGCTAAACCACTTATAGAGAAAGCTATTATTGTTGCACCAAGTTCATTAGTTAAAAATTGGTATAATGAGATCTTTAAATGGTTGAAAAATAGAGTTCAACCACTAGCCATTGATGGTGGAAACAAAACAGATATCGACACAAAACTTACTGGATTTATGAAAACTTACGGCCGCAGGTGTATAAATCCTATTCTGATAATCAGTTATGAAACTTTTCGCTTACACGCACAAGTTCTTCATCAAGATGAAGTTGGACTCGTATTATGTGATGAAGGACATCGTCTAAAAAATTCTGAAAATCAAACATATCAAGCGCTTATAAATTTAAAGGCTAAAAGAAGAGTACTACTCAGTGGAACACCTATACAGAATGATCTTTTAGAATATTTCTCTCTTGTACATTTTGTTAATCAAGGATTATTGGGAACTGCACAAGTATGTTAATTAATATGTTTAGAAAATAAAAAGATTTTTCAAATATTTCAACGAGAATATTACTGTCATATTAAAATTTCATTTGTTAGGAATTTCGAAAAAAATTCGAGATACCAATTTTACGTGGTCAAGATGCAGCTGCAACAGATACCGAACGTAAACTCGCTCAGGAACGTTTAGCGGAATTAGTAAGCATTGTGAATAAATGTCTTATTAGACGCACTAGTGCCTTACTTTCGAAATATTTACCTTTAAAATATGAATTAGTAGTGTGTATAAGAATGGGAAAACTACAAACTGACCTTTATAACAGTTTTATACAAAGCGATAGTGTTAGAAAATCAATGGAAGGTTTGTTGTTTATAAATTCGTTATTATTTAAAATACTTGAAATCTCTATATTTAATTAATGTCTATTTTTTCGTTATAGAAAATTCTGCCAATTCTAAAAAAGGAAAAAGTTTTTCAACACTTGCAGCAATTACACTGTTGAAAAAATTATGTTGTCATCCCGATTTGGTATATGATAAAATATTGGAAAAATCTGATGGATTTGAAAACGCTGCAAAATTAATGCCTCCAAATTACAGCACAAAGTACATAATATTAAAATTATTTTATAATACTGACCTAAATTTACCATTATTTTATAATATTGATCTTTATAATTTTATTTCTAGAGAAATCATGCCAGAATTATCCGGAAAGCTAATGGTATTAGATTGTCTCTTAGCTTCTATTAAAACAACGACGAATGATAAAATTGTATTGGTATCTAATTATACACAAACTCTCGATCTGTTTGAGAAACTGTGTCATAAACGTTGTTATAACTATGTTAGATTAGACGGCACTATGACTATTAAAAAAAGATCAAAGGTAGTAGAAAAATTTAATGATCCAAATAGCAATGACTTTATTTTTATGCTCAGCTCCAAAGCTGGGGGCTGTGGATTAAATCTTATTGGTGCAAATCGACTTGTCATGTTCGATCCTGACTGGAATCCTGCAAATGATGATCAAGCTATGGCAAGAGTTTGGAGGGATGGTCAGAAAAAACTTTGTTTCATATATCGTTTTCTTTGTGTACGTAAAAGAAAAATTTTACAGCAATTTTTGATTTTTTAGAAATCAACATTTATGTTATCATTTAAATATGTTATAGACTGGTACTATTGAGGAAAAAATTTTTCAAAGGCAAGCGCATAAAAAAGCATTAAGTTCTACAGTCGTAGATCAGGAAGAAGACGTTGCAAGACATTTTACATTAAATGATTTACGAGATTTATTTAAATTAGAAGAAAATACTATATCAGATACTCATGCTAAGTAAGCCTAACATTATGAAAAATTATGAATGTCCATATGAATAGTTATTAGTTAAGTATATTTATTGCACGTACTTTAGGTTCAAATGTAAAAGGTGCATCAATGGTATAGAAGTAAAAGGACCACCCGAACAATCTGACTGTAATTCAGATTTGTCAGATTGGAGGCACATTTATAATCCACGACCTTTACCAGACATACCATTACGACAATGCTGGTCATGTGGAATTTCTTTTGTTTTCTGTCATCGATCGCATGAACAAGTTAAATAGGATTGCAATTTTTAACTATTTGCACATACCTTAATAATGGGGGCGACATTTTTTATATTATCAACGTTTCATATACTTCTGTACAAAAGTTGTTAGGGCGAAGTTTATATAAACAAATTCATAACAAGCATTGTGTATTTGTTTAATAATTGAAATTACATTGTATGTTGAGTATATTGAAGTTAGTTTGTACGGAGAAATAATTATATATTATTATAAATATTTTATAGAACAGGAAAAATGTAATTTAATTGTATAAAAATTGCACAAATTGATTAATATGTAAAATAAATTTTTGTTTATGAAAGATTATTACAGTTATTAAACATTTTTAATAGTTCCAATATTTGATTTTCTTTTTCCTTTTTAATACAATTATATTTATTAATTTAAAAAATTATATCTGTAAAACTTGATAATTACAATCAAAGTCAGAATTCAGCAATGAGTTCATGTAAATAATGAGTTTATATAAATACATGAATTGAAGTCAAAAATATAATTTTTCAAAATAATTATCTAAAAAACATTTATATTGAAAAATAAGAAAACTTCCAAAACGTCTGCAAATAATAAAGCGTGAAATTCGGGATACAATGTTTTTAATACGGTTAATATATCTACAAGCTCGCTTTCAGACGAATTGTGCGTAGAAAACCAAGGGTCAACGAAGGCTTGAGGAATTTGCTCTACATAAACAGAAGCAATAAAGAGAAGTGGGGAGGGAGAGGAAGCAAGAGAAAATCTTAGTGGGGGAATGCAGATAATGGAAACGTGAGCACGTGATCGTTGAATACGGTTTCTGATTGGTTAAACGGAATCAGCGCTGCTTTCCCTCCCAGCTCGGTACCCGTTCGTGTTGCCCTTCTTCCGAGGTTTCGTACAGCTGCCTGCTCAGAATAGTTCCAGATGTGGCCATGTTTAGTTTGATCTTTGAAGTTTTCGCTCATCGTCTCATAACTGATACATTTTTATACAATCTGCTGACATAGTAATACGCTCTGTCCGACCATCGTTCTTTTTCGCCTGCCTGCGACTAGTCTCGTTCATAATAACATATGTTCTTCTTTTGCTGAGATAAATAATCTAAGTACGCGGAAGTACACGAGAGACGTAAAAAACGCTGTCAATCCATCCAGGATAGACACGAATCGCGTCGAGTCCGTGCATTAAAACATTTTATTTCTCGATTAAATTTCAATAACAGACGCGCGTCTGATTAAACTCGCAGTTGTTTTTATCGGCAAGGCGAGACGAACAAATTTATTCGTTGCTCCCTTTCTCTCTCTCTCTCCCAATATATTTTCAATTGAAAAAAGAGAGCGCTGTTATCAGATCACGGAACACACGGGAATCGTCGAAGTGGAAGCTACGTCTTTACATTAACTCTACGAAGCTTCGAGTCGTATCTTTGGGGAAAAACGCTTTTTCCTTTTCGTTTGATTATTACGAATTTTAAAAAAAGAGAAAAAAGTACATTATACGTATTTCCTATCGAGCTCTGCTCTTATCTCCGTATTTCATTCGATAGTTAAGAGCGTAAGGAAAAAGAGATAATTCTGAAACGCCTACGAGAGCTTATGGTCGGTCAGCCATATGCCACGTCATGCCACGACGTTGCAGTGGTAAGATCACGTCATTTAACGAAATTTAATAGCCAAGGAGAGGAGAGACACACAGTGAAAATCTATCCATTTCTTCGCCGAATCGAGAAGTGCAAATAGTAATTTACGGATAAATCAGAGAAATAAAAAGACACTTTAATTAAACGAGATATATTAGCCTGAATATTGTGCTCAGGCGAGAAGAATTAATTTGGGAGGATAAAAAAGAGGTCAGAGACATGTAACTGAGGCAACGATAGAAAAAAGATACAGAAAACGTTTTTAATAAAAACCTCTGGTACGTTCGGTTGTTGGGCGCGCGCACGCGCACACAAGAGAGAAAGAGAAACGGAGAGACACACGAGAAACACGATTCTTTGTAGGCTAATTAGTGTCCTAGTAAACTGAGTATTTTTGAAAATTTTTTCAAATGCTAGAATTCAGGCACGCGATTATTTTCCAAGCAAAGAGCCATCGAGTGTGGTCGCGTCAATCGATCGAATGATCATCGTCGGGCCACAGTGCTATATCATACGGTACAAAACACGATCGATCGGGACAAAACAATGGCATTAGAGAGTGTTTCCGCGGCTGAGACTCTAATCCAAAGGTTTGCCTCCAACATTTTTTATTCACCAGTCGAAAACAGTCGAAATTTTTAGGACTGTTTACCAATTCACGTTACACACATTTGAACCCCCTCTCCAGAAGCTCCGTGCTAGTCCCCCGCTTTCGTTTCGGTATATACCATTGGCACTACGAGAAAAAAAACGGAGTCATATTACACTGTTCGAATACGCGTAACTTATATCTTTTTGTTCTCTCGTGTCTCTTTTTATGGTTCTTCATTGCTCTGAAATTAAGTCAGCTCTACTCTAGAATTATAACATAAGATGGTTTAAACGTTGAGTACCTTGGCACGATTCTTAAGGCCAAGGTTATCTTCGTGACAAAGAAATTCTCCGATATACATATTCCAATATTAAATAGCAGAAAGTAAATTCAACTTTTTAAATGGAATTAAAAATGTTCCTTATGATAGGCATTAATAAATTTACTTGAATTAATATTCAAGTAAAATTCCAAGTAAAAATGTTAGCTTTGTGGTGATTCATAAGATATGTGTGCAAATATTCGTGCGTATATCTTAATTCTTATATATTTATGACGATATTTATTACGGTAGGATATAACGATATTTATAACGGTGCGAATTTTAACGACATATTTTGACGAGCATTGAAGAACTACATAAATATCAATATAAAATTATTTCAGAAACGGAAGTTTGTATTGAGTAAAAGAAATATGCACGGGATCTTCGGGGAGACGATATACATATACAGAAGATATATACATATATACATTTCCCGGTCGAGTACGACGTATTTATACATGTACCTAATACACATTCAAAGACTAAATTTATACACAGCGCGCATGTAGATGTGCGTCATGTACATATGTACAACCTACCTTACGTACACATGTGTATACCTTACATACATGTGTATACACGTGAATGAACGAAACAAACGGGGTCTACACGCAAAGAAATTCTGACGCACGATTATCGAAAAATGTTACATGCACTGTTGATAATGCTGTAACGATGACGATGAGATATGCTGTAGAAATAATGTGATATGTTATATATTCGTATTCATACTATTGCATTGATGATGAATTATGGTAGTTGATGATGAATAATGATGTTAATAATGAACACGATTTGTGGGTAAGGAAATTCCAATTTATTATTTTCCTTCGTGATATACAGATATGCGTTTTTTTACTATGCTAATTTAACAATCTTTTAGCGTCTGCAATTTACATATTACTTTTTCAATTTATATTCGTGTATTTTATTTTAAATATGTGGGAATGGTTATATGCTTCATTTAATAATATGGGTTTTCTTCCTCTACATTTGTAATTTTGTGCCTTTATATACTGTACGACTGAACGTACGTTTCTAAAATATGCTATTTTCCGGATAAATCGGTGATAGCGGATATTCAGAAAACAGTTATTTCCCAAGCATATGTTACGTTGACTAGGTATATATTTCAAAGTTGCATCGATCGATGCTTACTGTACTACAACGTGTCGTTAGTCACCTCCCAAAGCAGCCAATGTTTTCAGGTCAACTAGTAGCGGAAGCTTCTTTCAGCTATACTCTGCTCGACCAAAGTTCGATGTTCCTTTATTCAACGTACAACATGTGATGTATTTAATGACCATTGCTGTTAATGCTTTGACAGCTTTTATGAGCACAGTCCAATTTTGTTCTAGCAACTTTTTATGTTATTTTATCAAAGAAATGCATTTAGCATTTCTTTAATGATTCTTAAATGACGATGATGATAATGAATAATGACGATGATGATAATATTGATAATGATGATGATTATGATGATGATCATCATGATAATGATAAATGATGATGATTTTAATGAAATAAAATTTTCGATTTTACCTCCATACATACAAACATGCAGCTTTGAAAAATGCATAAAATGATAAATACCTGAGGGTGTAACATTTTTGTATAATTTAATTTATTTTAATTTTTTAATTAATATTACAAATGAATTCTTTATTCATTAGCATAGAATTATTTAAGATCAAAATTTATAGACCTTTTAAGTCTCTCAAGAAAGAGACTTAAAATATATTCAAAATAATATTATTAATAAAGCATATCAAGCAAAATCTGTCATCGATACAGACATTGAACATTCTATTTTTAATTATATGGAACAAACTATACATATACATATAATATATATAATATTACATATATATAATATTACAATATAAAAAATTGTTAATACTGTATAAAAATATTTTAAACTACATAAAGTTTATATAACACTCAGTTTGAATGTATTATATATTTTTGGCTAACTATGTATTTTTAATATATGTTTAGTAATGATGATAATGATTTGGAAGATGGGGAAATTCCTTCCGATGAAGATGATGAACCTCTGCCACCACCAGTAAATAATGACGCCAATAAAAGTGCATCAAAAGCAGATATACCAAAAACTAAAGCTTTCGATGCTAAATTCAATAAAAATAAGAAATCAAATGTTCAAGGAAGTAGCAAACATGATAGGTTTCTAAAATACAAAAATCCATCAGAAGATTGGGCAGGAGATGTGGAAAAAGCAATTAGGGCAGCGTTAGAGGAAGATGGTAGCAGAAATCAAGATTCTAAATCTAAGAGTAAAAATAATAGAAATAAGAGTAGAAAAAGGATACGGGATGAAAGAGAGGAAGACCGTAATAAGGATCAAAAGGTTTCATAATATTTAATGTTATTAGTAGAATTAATTTAAATAATATTTTATATGGATTTATAATAAATATGTGATTTACAGAGAAGAAAAGTGAGCGACGACGAAAATGTCAATGAAGATGAAGATGAAATGTTATTTGTTAGGGGTGCTTCACCTGTTAGGAAAGATTCGCAAGAGAATAATTCTCCAAGACATACAAACGAGCATGAGAATTTTGATAGTAATTCAGATTATGATGATAGGCCTAATGTAAATCGACATAGGGATAATGATAACAAGCGTAGTAATTCAAGAGGAGGTGGTGGTGGAGGAGGTATAGTAATATTATATAATATTATTAATCAATATTATTAAGTTATTACAAATGATATTTACGTTTATAGGACGTAGAGGCGGTAAAAATGAACGTGGTGGTAAAAATAAAACCCGTGGGCAAATGCGGAATGATAGAAATGGACGGAGAAATCAAAATAATGACCACAATCAAGATCCAGATGCTATATGTGTTTATTACATGCAAGGAAAATGCCATAGAGGAGATGATTGCCCTTTTTCACACAATGCTTTACCACCTCGAAAGATGGAACTCTGCAAATTTTATCTTATGGACTGTTGTGCAAAGAGAGATAAATGCCTTTATATGCATCACGATTTTCCATGTAAATTTTTTCATACAGGATTAAAATGTAGTCAGGGAGAGAATTGTAAATTTTCACATCAACCTTTAAATGAGCAGGTACTTATTATATTTCAGCTTTCATATCTTCTTTAATTAATATAGTTTAGAAAAGCATATATTAAATAAAATACTATTATGCAGGTGAAAGGGATTTTGTTAAAACACTTAGAAACAGCACCAAAAGAAATTCTTGGAGATTTTCCACGTTTAAGTAGAGAAGGGGCATTGTTAATGATAAATAATACAGCTAGAGCATTAGCGCAGGGTCAAGAAACTACAAATCAAAAAATTCCCAGTCTTTTTGAACTAAATATATCAGCTCCAACTGGTACCACAGAAAAGAATAATGAAAGGGAAGAAAAAGGTATTTAATGATATTTTTATTTATATTTTTTATAGTATAGTTTGTATTAAAAGTAAAATTTATTGTATAGAAGAACAAGTACAACAACAGAAAAGTGTTAGAGAAAGGAAATCGTCAGGTAAGAAAACTCGATGGGGTTCAGATGAAGATAGGGTTCCATACGAACAAATCATGTTGTTACAATCATCAGCCAATGAACTTGGTTTGCAACTTCCTAATGCTGCATTGGGTCTAGCAACCCAACAACACTTACAAAAACCATTAATACCCCAATCTATGCCAAATATGGATTTTTATACTGAAGCTAATAACCTTGAATTGAATAAAATAAATTTAAACAAATCAAGAGATAGAGAAGATTTCACAAAAGACGTAGAAGAAGACGAAATACTAGAACAGGTATAGTGATTTATTATTTCATTTAATAAATTTTTATGAATAACTATAATATTATGTAATGTTTTTCACTTTCAGGCAAAAAAGAAAGACACAACACTACTTGAAGATTCAAAAGATGTAGATTTAAGGCAATTGCTAAATGCGCAAAAGCCGCCACCTGTTGTTAGTATAGCTGATGAAGTAGCAAATCTTACTAAATCTAAGTTCGATGAAGAAAGTGATCAAGATGAAGAAACAGATCTTGTTATAGAAATGCCAATGGAAGATGACGATAAGCAGAAAGACAAAAATACTGATCAGGAAGGTAGGGCCAATTTTTATTATTGTATAAAGTAAAAACAAAAATAAAAAAGTAAAGAAAAGATTACTTAATTGTTACAGAAACAAATATCGCAAACGAAGAAACTAATAATCACTGTGATACTTCTTCACTATGTATGGAAGAGCAAGAAATACCAGCTCATTTACCAAAAAAGGCACAGGAATTGTTCATGCGTATTCAGCAACAACAACGGGCAGCACAGGATAGTTTTAAAAACATAGAAAATGAGTTCTCTGCACTTTCGAGCAGACGTACGGATCAAATTTTAGAAGATTGGTATTCGGACGATGAGGATGACGATGACGATGATGAAAGTGGAAATCTTACAATAGTACTTTCCAATAAAGATACGTTGAAAGAAGAAAATGAATCTGCAGAAAAGTCACAGAGTATTGTGATTAAAGAAGAATTTCAAACTACACCTTCTGCTCCTACTATACCTCAGCCAGCAGCTATTGTGGACAAACTTGGAGACTTAAGTAAGATTGATATTAGTGCTGAGGTATCAAAATTATTATCATCACTAAAGGCGACAACTGGTAAATCTTTTCAACAAAATACTACACAAGATTATTCCTCAAAAGTTAAATCTTCACCGGACAGAATATCATCAGACGAATCAAACATTCACAGTAAAAGTATCAACACATTTAATACTTCAAATCAGTTATCAAAAATTGAAAATGAAACATCGAGTCCACGTTCCTCCCCTGGAACAAGTTCTGTACCTGTTTCCAGAGATCCCCGTATGTCACGAGATCCCAGACAACGTCGAGACGAACAGAAATTGAGTAGCCCTAGTAGAACAGATAGTAAAAAAGAATCTAAGCATCTTAGATTAGAAACGAGTATCTACAGTTCCGGTATTACTGCTGTTGATACTAACATGGACACAGATCTCCGAACTAAGACAGATCAGGATCTTCGGAGAAAGGATATGGATTTCAGACAACAATTCCAAACCGGTTTTGGAGATACTGATCTTCGAGTTGTCAGTGCAGGATTCACCGATGCGTCTACTAAATCTGATGTGGATTTGCGACAAATGTTGAGTTTGCCTTTTAAACCGGCACCATCGCACGTTCCTTGTACGGAAATTGATGCAAGTATTTCTTCGCATCCTCCAATGACGTATAAAGTATATGTTGTTGACATACCAAGACCTGATTATACAGGTCTTAAACTTACTAAAAATGATGCACAGGTTAAATACGATCCACGATTACGTAAAATATTTAGAATCGGTAAAATCGAATTAGCTGATTCTCCCATGTCTCCACCTCCAATTAAAATGGATACTCCAAAGTCACCACCACAAGTCCGATCCGATCCACGTCGAAAAGCTCTCGAGGCTTCCAATTTATCTTCTCAAAATGTAAATGCTTCCATGATGAAGAATGTACAGCAGTCGTCAATAGAAATATCGAACATGGGAATGGGTCCTGGTGGTATGTCTGTTCCTCAGGGTATGCCTGGACCACAAGGTATGCAAGGAGGACAAGGCATGATGCCAATGGGTCCAAATCCAATGCTTGGAAATATGGGCCCTATAGGATCTATTATGAATACTCCCATGGGCCCTCAAAACATACCACCTATGGGTATGACGGGAATGTCCAACATGCCTCCGGGAATGACCATGAACGGACCAGTTGTGCCTCAGAATCCGATGAACTTTGATCCACGTTTTAATGTTCAACGCAACAATGGGGCTGGGTTGTTAGGCCCAGCACCTGGTGTAGGCTTCGGACCAGACGTTAATTCTTCGTACGATGGTGCGCCATCGTACCCTAGTGGCAATTTCAATAACTTTGGTCCCGGTCCTACTTCAGTGCCTCCAGATTCTGGTATGATGGGATTCAATCCGAATGGTCCGAATCCAAACTTCGGTATGGAGGGGCCTGAGTGGAATGGAACAAACCAAAATAGACGCGGTGGACGAATCAGGCGACGAAATCGAAATAGGACCAATATCGTGACTAATAATTAAGGCAATAAGCAATTTCAAGTAGGTACATAAGCGAAGTACCTGGTGATAATTCTCATTGTAATTTAAATTTGTACAGCATGCATTAATGATAATGCATTCATTTATGGCGGTCCAGATTAATGATCTTTTGATTGTGTCAATTGTACATGGTGTCAAATGCTCGATAGTGGTTAAATAGCAAAATATAAACTTAAACTATTGGAAGAAAAATATTAAATATTGTACATGAATTACACACTTTGAAGCATTTCTTTGTATGAAGTATACATACCAATGAATGATATAAGTAATGCTCATAATTACGTGACTCTATATTTTATTTAAAAAATATAAATCATATTATATACACGAGAAATATATCAAATATATCTATGAATAATAGCAAATGAAATTTTCAGCGGAGATGTATATGTATATATTGAACATCTTCATCCATTTAAAAAGACATTTAATATATAAGATATGATGAATGAAAAATCTGATTATATAGATTGATTTATATCTTTTTTTTATGTCTTCCATGTATGATACATAACGGAAATACATACATACATATATATGAATATATGTATGTGTGTGTATAATTTATATGCAAATAGTTCTTGAATTCTAGAATGCATATAAGTTTTATTAAATTATGTTTAGACAGTATCAGAACGACATAAATTCATTAAACATGAAACGGCCTAAGGCCTACTATTATAAGTCAAAACACCAATAAAATGACATAGTACATGATACAGTATGAAAATGCAATATTTTATAAAAAACTAATGTACTTATAAGAGTTTTGAAAATAATTGTACATGGACATACTTTTTTACTTACATTAGAAGAGATATAGATAGATATCAAAAGATATTTCATTTCAAATTTTGTAGGGACTGCAGATTAAAAATGTATTTAAATAAATGTGAACCTTATGATAATCTAGGTTTTACACTGCTAGCAAAATTTTTACCCTATTATTACATTTACCCGTTATGGCAGTCATATGTTCCATGTATTAATATTAAATACATCTCTGCTAAAACGCAGATTAAGAAATACTTCCTCTTTATAAATAATATTAGAAACAGAGTATATGTTTCAATCTAAAGAATTGTTCAGCCATTATTCAATGTTAACCTATTGATATTTTCCTTTATTATTACCTATTACCTAGAAAGTTAAAAAATGAAAATTACATTTGTAAAAAATATAGTTTACTATCATATAGTGAAACTCTTTTGTACAATTTAATTATTAATTCTAATACGTTTTTCTACTATTACTCATAACGTTGTAAACAATGGTTGTATTTCCCCACTGCACTTTGTTTAAAACACAAATATTTTAAATATGGATATAAAAAGTGATAAAATTTATATAATGTACAACCCATGTAAGAGAAATTGTACTTTCATTTGACTATAATTCACTATTACAGATTCTTGTTTAATTATTATTATTGTTGTTATTGTTTACTTATACTATTATTTTCAAGCAGTAATAATTATAATTGTAATCATTTTCCATCAATGTACAATAGAACTTAAAGGATCAGCTCTTATAGCTGATAGATCTAAACGTGCATCCATCTCGTCATCCAATTCTCCTACGATTGCCCTAAAAGAAAAAAGAAATTCTACTAAAATTTTTTGTATTTTTTATAAATCAATTTTTTGAAATTTAATTATGAAACAGTTATATACTATAAAATGTACATTAATAATTTACTATTTATTTATTTATTGAACAGTATTTGTGTTGTCTGTTAAACTGCCAGAATAAAAATAAAATTAATATCATCTCCTGTTTCATATATTTATATATATTATATATAATATACTCTTAAATAATATTAATGAACATAGTTAAAATGAATAAAATAATACTATGGAAGGAACCTTTTGAACACACTGAAAGTGAATTAAGTTAAATTACTTACACATTGTCACCTCTGATGATATGTAAACCTAATACTACTTGCTCTACACCTTGCGTTGTACTGTACACACGTTCATGAGATTCATCTAATATTATATTAATAGTTTGATCAAATCCTTTTAATGTTCCCTGAAAATATAAAGATCTTAGTATTTACAATTTCAACATAGGAACAATTACAGTGCAGTTTAAATTGAGAAAAAGGATCTTAGTCATTTATTGGTATAAGATTAAACTGACTATTCAATTGGTTATAAATGATATATTTCTCTAGATAATAATGTATGCATAGGAATCTGTGATAATAATTATAATATAATGTAATTCATGTAGAAATTATGTACACATTAAAAATAATTTACTTACGATGAAGTTTCTGCCATCAGAAGTAATAATAGAAACAGTGTCTATAAATTGTTAAGGACAAATATAAAAAAAATAAGATAATAAATGAAAACACAAATTAAATAAAGGATACGATTTACGTAGCTTTCTAAACCTGACGCCATAATCTTAGTTATTAATTATACATTAAAATAATTTTTCCATAAAAATCTACGATTTACGTGCGTATATGTACTTAACGTTTGTTATGGTAACAAATGCGTATCAATTAAGTTCACTGTTCTACAAGTACATACATTACTTTATTACGTTTTGCATAAAAATTTCCTTCTGCATTAGAAATTATTTCTTTTGAATTTATCAGATGTTCGGTCAACTGCACGATCGGAATATTAAACGAAAGCTTAACAGATTCACTGTTAAGTAATTATTGTTAAAGTTCCAACTGATTGGTAGCATGATCATGTAGTAAAAGAATGTAAATATTATTCTACAAAATTATTATAGCAATTTTAAGGGTAATGGATTAGAATACATCTAATATTTTAGTCTTAGTGGATGTTAAATATAAAATAAAAAGTTTAAAATGTGCTGGAGAAATAAAATGACTTTTAGTTAAATTCTGATAGATTTAGGAATTCGTGATTACCATATATAGAATCATTATTAAATAAATTATTCTCTTCTACTTGCATGTGTTTCATACAAAAAATAAATAATTTTTTTAAAACGGTTTAACTAGTTTATAAATTTTTTAAACGTTAAATGTTTAATCATAGAATATATTAATTTATTAAAAATAAATATATTGAAATAGAAATAATGCATATAAAAAAAGCGTATTTATTAAATTTTTTAATTATGTTATGTTCTACATTATTTTGAAATAATTTTGAGTTTCTAGTGTATAGTGCTTATACATATGTAGGTACATATGTAGTAGTTTGTAATCACCAAACATTTGTTACTACCAAACAACATGGACATTCAAACAACAAATACGCGAAGAAAAATATTGAATCATGTAGTTTGTAGCATTCTAGTGGAATGTGGTTACGATACTTGTGAGAAGCAAGCATTAGAAATTCTCACAGAAATGTTACAGTCTTGTAAAAATTTCAATTAATTCTAAAGTCCCTAACCTCTTCTTATTCAAAATTTTAATTGTTTATATTTCCTTTGATATATTACTTTTTACTTTTTACCTTCTTCCTAAATAGATGTTTTGATTCCATTGACAGATGTGATAAAGAAGATGAATATTTATTATTACTTTAATTTTACTTTATTGGTTTTGTGAAAAAGATAACATAATGAATAATCATTTGTGAAAATGAACAAACATTCAAAAGATCATTCTTATATTGATTTTATCATTTATAAGATATTATAGTTCATTTAAATCTTACTTGATAAATTTGTAATATATGCATGAATTATTTATAGTTCTTATAGAGGTTGGAGAGTCTGCAAGAAATTACTGTGAACTGTCTGGTAGGACGGAACCACTCATTGCAGATGTTATAGTAGCATTAATAAATATGGGTATAAAATTAGATAATCTGGAAAGTTATGGCAAGAGGGCTAACAGAACAGTTTTGCCTCAGCTTCAACAACAAACTCAATCAAAGCAGTTAAATATTTTGCAAGCTGGAGTGAAACAAAGTCATCCATCTCATATACCAAGTTATTTACCACCTTTTCCTGATCCGCATGCATACATTAGAACACCGGTAAAGAGCATTTATGAAAATATTATGCAATTTATATATTTATTAATATTTTTAGTTACTTCGAGATATTTATTGTGCAGAAGTTTTTAATTATACAGTTTTTACTTACACTACTTACTTATAAACAGACGCATAAACAGCCAGTAACAGAATATGAAGCAATAAGAGAAAAAGCAGCAACACAAAAACGTGATATTGAAAGAGCTTTGACAAGGTTCATTGCAAAAACTGGAGATACACATAGTCTATTTTTAACAGAAGATAATAGTATGTTTCCATGTAAGTAGAAATCTCATACAATTCTGATTCAGGAAAACTAATATATTTCTATACAAGTAATGTACATTTAATTAAGAATTGAATCTTCAGTATTGTTATTTTATCATTTCTGTTTTCAGTAATATCATGTAAACCACAATTTCCTAGTTACCTTTCTGCACTCCTTCCACAAGATCAAGTTTTTGAAACCGATCAAGATTTTCAATTTGAACCAAGTCCAATTAAAAAGAGAAAGGAGCAAGAAAGAGAAGAATCAGAAGAAGGTCTTATTTCATTCTAAATAGATATGAAAAAATTTACTTCTTTGTTAAAAACGAATTCATAATATTTTACATTTTTATAGGTATGAAAGGACAAAATGAAGATGTTGAACAAAATGGAGAAACTACAACACAACAAGATGTTATAGATAATCCTTACTTAAGACCTGGGAAGATACCAAAAAATAAAATGCCAGGAGTCTCAGTTCCTGGATTACATTCGATAAAGAGGGATTCTCTTGAATGAAATTTTTAATGGTGACGATTTTGTTAATTTTATTATTTCTTATGTTAATATTGTGTACATAATAGTATATTATAAAGTAATATTTGTATTTGTATTGCATAATAAAAATTAATCTTTATTATAAGTAGCTTTATATAAAATTATTTTAAATCATATTACCATAATGAATATTACATACTATAAATATTCCATGATTTCATTTTACAAATTATTTACGCTAATATTAAATCTACAATTTTCTTTAAGGTATATATTAAATTGATTCCACATACATATTTGGTTTTACATTATTTACTCTTACATTATGTTTCAGTATATCAGATCTATATTGCACGTATATAGCACCACTTTGGAGAAGGTAAGAATACAGAGACAGCTATATAAATCCTTTAACATGTTCGTCGCCCAGCGTATTTCGGCTATGTTTCCTGCGGGGCCCAAATCCGACCGTGGCTACGTCCAGTGACCTGCTATGTCACTTCGAGCCTGAACCCATCGTCATAAAGCCAGATTGGAACATTAAAATTATTTCTTATTTTTATTACTTAAGTGTAGCTATAGTAAAAGTCTGGACTAGGGTATTGGGGGTTTTCTCAACATTTCAGACGGGAAATCCCGATGTTCTTTCATCTCCAACAAATATATTTAGTTCTGAAATGGAGAAAGCTATAAACTTTCCAGCTGGAGTATTCCGAGGGATCTCATGGCAGATATCTCAGATCTTTAATTTAGTTGAGAAGCATACTTGTGAGACGCACATCAGTGATTTTTTCATCTTCAAAATGTTCAGTAAACAGTGTGAAAATATATTTGAAAGTGAGGAGAGTAGTGATGACGAAGTAGTGAATTTTAGAAAAAAAATTATAAATAGAATTTCATCGAGTTCGAATATTGAGGAAGCCATGATAATAAAAAATATGATACAATGTATTTTTAATATTTTTATGTTGTATAACCTATATATAATATTGTATATTTAATTAACTCGAACAAGAGGAGCGTCACCATACGTCGGTGACGGGGCCCCCACGGAAGTATACCCGTTGCACGAATATGTGCGACGTGGCGACGAACGTGTTAAAAAGGATGATTAGGTAAAACTTACAAAAATAGATTTCCTTGTTATAGGTAGTATTGCATGTAAGATTTTCTACATGTATATTGTGGTAAATAGCACCTATTAAAATTATATTCGCGCATTTTCACTTTGCAAAAATACATCATACTATCATCATACTAGAATTAATATGGCATTTCAATGAATGTAGACAAAAATTCGTTTTCTTATTAATTGTGCTGATTTAGGCTGACAGATGTATGTATGTATAGGTGTGAGTGTGCGCGTATGAGCGCGTATGGAAGTACACTTACTGCTAGTATACACAAAAATATATAGCAAATTGATAATTTGTATAAGGCATAAGCTCTATCATCTCTATATTACTTTCCTATTCTCTGATTCTTAATGAAACTATATAAGAGAGATAGACTCTGAAAATTGTTAATTAAGCATTCCCTTCAATATATCATCTGAAAATACTTTTCGATTATATTTTTTAACGACTGAGATATGTTTCTCAATCCGAAAGAAATATTTTTTTAATATTAATCACTAGCTCGTTTGTTATGTTATAAACTATAACTTCTATATTATGAATACAGCATTTGTCAGTACATTTAGAAGTATAAATTATACAATTATAGATTTATATTATTGAACATTTTGGGGAATATCATTCAAACATCTAAAATGGATTTGATTATATAAAACTGTATAAATTTAAAGATTATATATATATATTTTTCTTATTCACAATTATTACAAAAATTAACAATTACCTAACTTTTTAAAATATATGATGCTTATTTCTGAAAATCCATCATGAATAAAAATACTCAGTACCTTTCGGATTCTATTATGTATTCCACTGTTAAAATCAATTTTAAAAATTTGGATGTTATTCCTCGTTAGAACACTTTTTCATGACATATATTGTGGAATCAGTCAAAATGTATCTAATATTTAAGAAGTCTTACCCATCTGTTACATTTTATTTTCATTATAGCAATTTTTTTTCTTAGTACTGATACCAAGGCTGTCGTCGCACCCAGCGTAATTTCATACCAGATGCGGTACGAATCTTTATACTGGCACATTCTGCAGCACGAACAGTTTCTTTTACGCTTTGCATAAGATTTTGAGCATTTCCAACTAACATGTCTGTTGCTTCTTGATCTTCTTCTGTACCTATAGTTTAGATGTGAATTAGATATTAAATAAACTTAAAACATTGAAAATAAAAAAAAATCAGTTTTTAACATGTTCCATTACCAGACAGAAGAAAGTAACAAAAGTTAAAATACAATAAAACATTTACACCAAAATATTTAATTAAAAAAGAGATAGTATTTGTGCTAATTTGGTCTAAGTTTGTTTCACAAAAGTTTTAAAAAGAATGTGTTAAAAAATAAAAGTATTCACTTCTACTACATATTAAAATCTATAAAATATATACTACATTACTTAATTAATGTACATACAATACTGAAATACAATAATGAAATAATCTATGAGCAACTTTAATGTAATGAAAATTCAGTTCTTAACATATATGTGATGCGTGCTATAAAAAAATTTTTGTTTGCAATTGTAATAAGGAATGTGTGAGAATATAATAATTGAATAATATTATACATAATGAATTTATCATTTATGTTGGAAAATACATGCAAATATATGAATAATAGATGCTAATATTAGCATATAAAAATAGTGTATGTACGTGTTCATACACACACATGTAATAGAAAAGAAACAAGAAAACGTGTAAAAACAAAGAAATATCATGCTAAAAAGATGAAGTATGTAAAATGTATATAACAATATTAAGATAAGATGAATGATACAAATAGAAAGTAGGAACTTTAGACTAATTTAAATTAATATTAACAGTTTACAATCATGAACTGTATTATATGTATATGAAGTATGTATATCTTTTAGAGTACAATGTTGCTTTTTAAATATACACAACATTAATATCCACGTATTAACTTTTTTAACTATATTTTCTATGCTAACTTATACTTATTTCATTAACTTACTGCAGCCAATCAATTCGTCTACATCGTGATGAGTAAGGGCATATCAAACACATCAATAATTAAATTGAAAATTAGAAAATTAAAAAATTCAATTATACATTTTATAATTCGTTGGGTAAGTACATTTTTTTTATACGTTCTTTTAACGTTCCTAAATTTTATGTAATAAATTCTTTCATAGTATACTCTGGGGAAGACTAAAATATGCATGCATTGTAATGCAAATGCAAAACTGTGAAATATTCAAACAGTTAAATAAAAGAAACTCTAAAGAGAATGATAAAAACATCAAGCATAATTTATCAACATTTTTACCATAAAGCATCAACTCTTCCCAGGTGGGGAGCGTCTCTATGTATAAAAAATGTCATTAATAGCTGTTTTCATTAAGTGATTCTTTAAAATATAGAACTCCCCCAAATTCTATGACTTTTTATTAATATTCTATTCTCAGATAATTAAAATATGTTTTGTTATGTATAGAAAATTAAACAATTTGTATAGTGTACCTTGTGCACCTAGCATTGTAGCTTTCACTGTAGATAATATTTTTAATTGTGTACCTATAGTAGGTATTCGTTCACAAACTTGAAGGAGATTCTATAAAACAAATTTACGAAAAATATTAATTTTAGCTGTATAACATAATATAAATCGTAATAAATAAATTATATACATACAGTACGAATACGTTTGTCGGTACATTCTCTAGCTAATTCCTTAGCTAAACGAGTTACTTCCTGAGAAGCTTCTGCAATGGCCTTAGCACATGCGATCAGATCCCGTTTATTACCACCTTCTCCCCTAACTAAACCTGATAATCGACCCATTAAAATAGCCATTTTCTTCGCAGCAGCAATAATTTCATTGTCTTTGCTTGACCATTGTCGTACTTCTTGGTGCAAGCCATGAGCAGCCATCTGAAATTTTACTAAAATGATACGTCGATCTTGCATTTTTGAGAATAAAGAATTAAAACATAAATTGAATATACCATTATAGGCTGATTAGGCTGCGGTGCGTGCATAAACATTTCATCCTCATCATCCGTTTCCGGTGGTGGAGGTCGTGGAGGCGGAATATCTCCACCAGGCAGAGGAGGACGCGGTGGGACGACTTCTGTGTAAATTATAATAATTTATGTAAGAATGATAAGTTTTCTCAAATAATAAATTCTTTGACAATACAACCATTGTGCACTTAATATACATAAAAACAATGCACATTTCATAATTACCATCATTATTACCATAATCATAGTAGTAGCCTACTATTCCACGTAGCATTAAAGATATAAACACATATTAATTTAAAATTATATATTAATGTCATATGATCATAGTAAAACATGCACCAATAAACAAGACAACTATACAATGCATTAAAAGAAAAATTAACACTTATATTAACTATTTAAAACAATGAATGCAATTGTTAGTATAGAGAAATGAAAAGTAAATTTATTAACTGAAGAAATATCATGAAAATTGTAAAAAACAATAAACTATTTGATACAATGATTTTTTTTAGATATTTGTTAGTATACATATATTTATAAAATTCAACGAAAATAAGTTCAATGCGCTATTATTTTTTCAGTAAATAAAAGATTTTTTCTATTTTTACTTAAAATTACGTATGTTTTATTTCTTTAAACCTCATTGTTAAAAAGATGCTATACAAAATAATATATATTCAATTTCATTATACACATGCTTTGCTCCCATGGATAAACAGAATTTTGAGCACTAGACACTTGCAATTTCAGTCCTCAAAAATACTAATTTTGAATTACCTCCATCGTGAACTGATTTTTCTAACTCGTTGTCAGAAGCCAGTTCTTGATATAGGAGATCAGGGTTATCTCCTGATAAAAAAAAAGTAATTACTTCTATGTCTTGACTTTCAAGAACAAATGCTTTGGAAATTCATATATCTATTTTCATTTTGAAGCAAGATATTTAAAAATACTATATAAGAAGAAAAAAGAATCAAAAAGTACATTCTTGTTTGATTTCT